CTAGTGGACAACTTTTGTTTCTGCGCCTACCTGTAGTCATCGTTCATTTATCGTTATCGAGGTTAAATCCTCAATATATTGTGATATTGATGTTAGGCCATATCGTCCAGCCCTAACTCCCAGCGCCAAAAATTGAAGCCGAAATCCTCTTAAAATGACATGATTTACGGAGCTTTGTCGTCTCACAGAGCACCGTAAAAAACTGTTCTGCTTCTGGTCATTGAATGCCACATTTTACATCACACAGCAGCTCTCCCACTCCTTTGAATGGATTAAACTGCCGTACTTCAACAGAATAAAACTCTTAATGTTACTGTGGATGCTTTCTGGCATTGATCACGATAGGCTAACGCCTGTGTAAACTCCTGAACGGGCTGAATTTGTATGGGGACACAACAGCTGACCGGTCCATCATATCTCCCGCTAAATTTCCCCCTCCCAGAACTTGTCCTGAAGTTCCGACAATGGAAGCATGCCCTAATGGATGCCACATAGATTCATAGTGGGTGGGACTCTCGCTTCCTCCAGACACAGAACACAGAAGTTCTAGCTTTAGGTAGTGTCATGGAGCCATCAGGGGAAAATGGCCAATCAGCATGCAGCTTCTTTAACATGCATGTCCTTGTCGAGTGTGCGTGGCAAACCAGTGTTTCAATTCAATTAAATCCAAAAATACTTTATTAATCCCAGAGGGTTTCATTACCGGAGCTCCTGGGCCATTTTGAGCCTCATCAAAGTTTCAGATGCTACATAAAGACTCAAAGAACAGTTTCCAGTTGTGAACAAGCTTGTTCTTGGACACCTATAATTTTATTTCTGATCTTTTTTCAACTGGCTGAAAGTGATGCAAAAACATAAACGTCATGCAATTGACTTTAGAAACGAGCTTCATTAGTGGTTCTGGTTATTTAGACAGAAAACACAACAGGATTTCTAAAGGCCGTCTGTAGAACTCCAGCCTATCGTACATGCATGATGAACCTTTCCTTTGTTGTCTGCAGCTCTCCTGGGTCTACTGGGGGTCATGGACTTCTTGTTTGTCAACCACGCCTGTCACAGCATCATTTCCCGAGGAGCTTCAGTTCAGCTTGTTTTTGGATTTGAGGTTAGTCAGATTTACGTTTGAACTTGGAGGAAACGAATCATTTACACGGTATCCGCGGGTCCTTAAAAAGTCTTAAATTAGCTTTTCCTAATTTAAGGCCTTAAAAGTCCTTAAAAATGACAAATAATCCTTAAATCCAGTTTCCAAAGGTCTTAAATGACCAAAGACCCAATAAACAAGGTTATTTTATTTCTATAAAAATTTCGTGAATCTCTAGTTAGTGTTCAGCATTTTTTGTGTACGATGTTGCCGTAAGCGGAACCGTACGCAGTCAGTTGGTTGTGAAAGGGGGCTATTTTTTTTTTAGATGAGCACATTAGCTGGTTAAGCTAGTGGGAGCTTGCGCCATGGGGAAGGGCAAGTTCAATGGTAACTGGATGGCTAATCCCACGTTCGCGACGTGGTTAGCTCCGGCTCCAGGCAAGAGCTGGAAATTATCGCTTAAATTTAATTTTTAAAATAGCTTAAATTTGGTCAAAGTGGCCTTAAAAAAGGTCTTAAAAAGTCTTAAATTTGGCTCCCTTAAATCTGCAGCTACCCTGCATTTAGCTCTGATTAGTTCTTCTGAATTAAAAAAGGCGCATGAGCTCACGCGTGTTTCTTTATAGAGGTCCTCATAAACTAGACCCGCTTGAGCTTAGTCCTAATAATCAGTGTCTAAATAGTCGTTTATTTAACTACTTTGGAAACATCCCTGATAGCATAGCTGAACTAAAACCTGAGTTCCTGCTGCGGAGGTGTGGGACACATGTAAACCTTCAGCCTCTGAGCAGGTCTGGTGCTGCATTCCCAGTCCTCAAGTGGCTCGACTATCCCATAACCCTCAGTGACGTTAACGTGAGGCTCCCATTTATCTTCTCCCCAGTACGCCATCTTGCTGACCATGATCCTGACGACGTTGATCAAGTACGTTCTGCACACCATCGACCTGCAGAGTGAGAATCCCTGGGACAACAAGGCCGTCTACATGCTCTACACGGAGCTCTTCACAGGTGCTGCATCTCAAAACGGGACGAGGGAATATTTTCTGGGTGTTCTTTCATGTGGGATTTAAGATGAAGCCTGTGATCTCTGCTGAAATGCTGTGTTGTTCTCCAGGTTTTATCAAAGTGCTCCTGTACATTGCTTTCATGACCATCATGATAAAGGTCCACACCTTCCCTCTGTTTGCCATCCGGCCCATGTACCTGGCCATGAGGTGAGCTGTTTGTGGTCTCTCATTCAGATGTTTTTAAGGACCAAAAATAATAAGATTTAATATAAAATAATGTAACTTGACACTGTGCACAGGCCATGTAGCTAATCTAATGTGTAGGTCTTAGTTCTTAAGCCAGGCTCTCGATTTACCGGTCGATCTACGTCCCAATCCTCACCTATGGTCATGAGCTTTGGGTAATGACCGAAAGAACGAGATCGCGGATACAAGCGGCCGAAATGAGTTTCCTCCGTAGGGTGGCCGGGCTCAGCCTTAGAGATAGGGTGAGGAGCTCGGACATTCGGGAGGGACTCGGAGTAGAACCGCTGCTCCTCCAGATCGAAGAGTCAGTTGAGGTGTTTTGGGCATCTGGTCAGGATTCAATTCAATTCAAGTTTATTTATAAAGCGCCAAATCACGACAAGAGTCGTCTCAAGGCACTTCACATAATAAACATTCCAATTCAGGTCAGTTCATTAAGCCAGTCAGAAATAATGTTTCCTATATAAGGAACCCAGCAGGTTGCATCAAGTCACTGACTAGTGGCAGTGACTATACAGCAATCCTCATACTAAGCAAGCATGCAGCGACAGTGGAGAGGAAAACTCCCTTTTAACAGGAAGAAACCTCCAGAGAATCCTGGCTCAGTATAAGCAGCCATCCTCCACCACACACACACACACACACACACACACACACACACACACACACACACACACACACACACACACACACACACACACACACACACACACACACACACACACACACACACACACACACACACACACACACACACACACACACACACACACACACACACACACACACACACACACACACACACACACACACACACACACACACACACACACACACACACACACACACACACACACACACACACACACACACACACACACACACACACACACACACACACACACACACACACACACACACACACACACACACACACACACACACACACACACACACACACACACACACACACACACACACACACACACACACACACACACACACACACACACACACACACACACACACACACACACACACACACACACACACACACACACACACACACACACACACACACACACACACACACACACACACACACACACACACACACACACACACACACACACACACACACACACACACACACACACACACACACACACACACACACACACACACACACACACACACACACACACACACACACACACACACACACACACACACACACACACACACACACACACACACACACACACACACACACACACACAGAGAGAGAGAGACTAGTAATGTGTCTATAGTTATATTGTGATGTCTTAGTAAATATTCTATTTGGTGAGAGATAAACTTTATTGTATTTATCCTGGTGAATCTATAATTAAACGGGTAAACTAGTAGTAGCACATCCAACGTCAAGGAAACCAAAAAGTTATTATCAGGAGCAGGAGAATGTTTAAGTGGTTAGCAGCAGTGTGCTAGACGATGGCCCCCTCCATGAGGCCACCACAGCTCAGCAGAACATCGTTGTAGCTTCTTCTGGGGAGAAAAACACTTAGAGAGAAAATAAAGTTAACAGCTGAAATAGCAGGAAATAATACAGTTAAAGAGCAGATTGTAGAAGAAAGCAGGAGAGTGTGAAAAGTGGTCAGTGAGTCCTCCAGCAGTCTAACCCCGGCTTTCCACGGGAGCCGTCAGCAGCACGTCTTGCTCGCGTAAGCTGCTGCTTGGCCCTTCCCACGAGACGCGAAGCAGCAGGGGAGCAGCTGTCACCGACCGAGCACGAAGTCACACGAGTGACTTCGTCAGTAAACACAACAACAAGCAGGAGAAAACTACAACATGGTTTGTGTTTTATGTTCTGTCCGTTTTATAATCGCCAACACGGACCTGAAAAACAAAGGAGACCGCTAGCTAGGTGATAACTTCTCACGGGGCCGCACAGTTAGTAACTTTTTTAAAGTAAAGCAACCGGAAGGCAGTACGTTCTTTATTCTGAAAATATCGGGAGCTTCTCTCCATTTCCGCGTCCGATTTCCTGTCTTTCCTTCCCCAAAATGTCGAACTTGACCCGTTTCAGAGGCGTTGCGCGTAGAAAATAGAACCGGCGCGTAAAGGCCGCGACATGCTGCTCCTGAGACGCGGCCGACTCGTGCCGCTGACGGCTCCGGTGGAAAAGGTTCTGTTGACCACAGCGGTTCCTATCAGCAGCTATGACGTGCTGCTGCAGTAACGTGCTGCTGACGGCTCCTGTGGAAAGCCGGGGTAAGCCTATAGCAGCAAAACTACAGAGATAACCTAGCCTTTTAGATGGAGGCATGTTGGAGGCAGGGCAAGGGAGAGCCGTCTTTACCGACTGTACACTCCACCTCCCTCTACTCCCCCACTTGTCCTGATGCAGGCTAACATCAGATTTTAACCATAGGCCCTATCAAATAAAAATGTGTTAAGCCTATTCTTAAAAGTAGACAAGGTGTCTGCCTCACGGACTAAAGCTGGGAGCTGGTTCCACAGGAGAGGAGCCTGATAACTAAAAGATCTGCCTCCCATCCTAATTTTAGATATTCTGGGAACCACCAGTAGACCTGCAGTCTGAGAGCGAACTGCTCGGTTAGGAACGTATGGAACAATCAGATCACTGATGTATGATGGAGCTTGATTATTAAGAGCTTTATATGTGAGAAGAAGGATCTTAAAATCTATTCTGAATTTAACAGGTAGCCAATGTAGGGAAGCTAAAGCTTGGTTTATGCTTGACGCATTCACTTTCTACGTGGTGATGCGGCTCGCGGATGGAACGCGCTTCACAACTCGCAGCGTTTATGGTTTGTGCGGCTCGTCTCTGCGGTGAGACAATATTCTCCCAAACTGTAGGGGGCAGCATGGAGCTCCACAGCATGCATCCAACACTACACCATAGTAGAAGTAGAAATTACTGTTTACAACATGGCATTTCAGCATTTTTAACAGCGTCCTCGTCTTTTCCGACAGTGCGAGCTATTTCTCTCCAAGAATTATTAACAACATGTTGATCACGGTGATCTCTGAGAGCTGAATCATACAAATGTCTGTCTTTACGAACCTCTGTCATACTAGTTCTTGCCGGTCCGCCATGTTTTTCCGCGTCCATCCGTCCGCGTGGTTAGAAATTTTCCGAGGTGCGCGTTGCGGAAATCTTGAGCCGTGCGGAGACGAGGTGGAGGGGCGTGGCTGTTAAAATGACGCAAAATGACGCAACTTTTCCGCGCGGAGCCGTGCGGACCTCGCGGACGCGTCAAGCATAAACCAACCTTAAGACAGGAGAGATCTGAAGACTTTTAACTACATTCTGTGGACTTCCTGGGAGTAATGAATTACAGTAATCCAGTCTTGATGTAATAAATGCATGAACTAGTTTTTCAGCATCACTCCTGGAAATGATGCTTCTATTCTTAGCAATATTCCGAAGGTGGAAAAAGGAAATCCTACAAACCTGTTTAACCTGGGATTTGAATGACATGTCCTGGTCAAAGATAACACCAAGGTTCCTTACTTTGACGCCTCCTGGACGCCTCCCTGGGGAGGTGTTTCGGGCATGTCCTGCCGGCAGGAGGCCCCCGGGTCGACCCAGGACACGTTGGAGAGGTTACATCTCCAATCTGGTCCGGGAACGCCTTGGGGTCCTGCCGGAGGAGCTGGTGGAGGTGGCCGGGGAGAGGACGGTCTGGAGCTCCCTAGTTGGGATGCCGCCCCCGCGACCCGGACAAGCGGAGGAAGACGACGAAGAATGAACTCAAATAATGAGTTTGATCCACAGAATTGCTCAATAAAAATAATTGTTTAATAATTATCTGGTACTAACTCATAGAAAGGATAAACCCATGGGGTTGTTTTGATATAATGGCCTCTTTAAAAGGCATGATCACTTCTTCTCACCACTTATCATTAATTTGTCGCTTTCCTCGTCCTTTCAGGCAGTTTAAGAAAGCTGTGACTGATGCCATAATGTCTCGGAGAGCTATCCGCAACATGAACACACTGTGAGTATTCCTCTGCTGGGGTGGGGTTGTGACTACGTGTTTAAATGATATTGTATTTCTTTAAAGAAAGATGATTAAATCTAGGGGTGCTTGATTGGGCCTTTTGACCGATATACCGATACTGTCTGACTCCTTAAGTCTCATTAGTCATCACACATGGTGAAATCCAGCAGGCAGCAGTTTTGTGTCTACGTCTCCTTATTTCTATCTCGTCTTTGATCCATCTTGCGGTAGAAATAAGGAGACGTGGACACAAAACCATGAACAGAGATGATGGAATATTCACACTGGATCACGCGTGGGACTGTGTCATCGGCAAGGAGGACGCGAGCAGTAGAGGGCGACATCGTCCTCTGTGTTGATAAAACATTTATTAATATCTTCAGATAAGAAAAACCAGTCTTGGGTGAAGATTCTTGTTTTTGTTTGCCGGCTCGCTACACATACTAGCTACATGCTGTGAGGACAGCATACGTTCACCACACAGGGCTAATTTCTACTTCACAAGTTGTGCCAAATAAACTCGGATAACTCAAACACCTAACCTCAGAGCTGTCTTATTTTGACATTTTGAGAGAGGGGAGAAGTAGCTGAGGAGTTTGATGTATAGCATAAGTATGGTATGTAATTGTGTCATTAAAAGACTGATAACCAATATTTTTCCATATTTTAAATGCCGATATTAATGGCGAACGGATAATATCGGAGATCACTAATAAAATATTTTGAAGATCTTGCAAAAGCACCTCAGTGTTCAGCAGAACTACGTCATCTTGTTACACTTTTGGCTAACACTGTACAGTAAGGGTCCTTTATTAATGTTACTTAGTGCATTATTAAGCATTAGTAAACATTACATAAAGTGTTAACAACTGCTTTTATGCATTACATAGCATTACTAAACATATTATTTAATGCAATTTAAGCTGTTAACTAATGTCTATTACTGAACCTATGGGTCCAAAATCCATTCAGTAATGATTAATTATGGTTAAGTAATGCTTAGGAGTCTATTCAGCATTTAGCAAGTGTTTATAAATGGATAAATGTTTACACTTTACAATAGGGGTAAAAAAAAGCTTAGTACTGCATTAACTAAGGTTCAGTAATAGACATTAGTTAACTGCTTAATAATTCAGTTCAGTTCACTTTATTTCAAACATATACATTCACCAACATTTCATAAAATCATTCCACGCAATTGTTTGAAAAGGAGTAGGGAGAAGTGTTTACTTATTTAGCCCTACCCCCTCAGGTTTACATCCTCATCATCAAAATTTAAACAACAAAACAGTTACAATGCCTTCAAAAAAAAAAAACACAAAAAATAAATAAATAAATAAATAAAATTCTCATGTTCAACTTGAACTGTATTTAGATTTTCTAATTTGTAGAATAGATTAAACATCAGTTTACATGCCGTCCTGGGTTAATTGCATTTTCTTCATTCTTATACTTATTTAACATTTCTTGTTTGAGTTTTATTTTAAACTGGTTTACATCACTACTATCCTTTATTTCTTCTGTTAACTCATTCCAGAATTTAACGCCCGCTATTGAAATAGACATCCTTTTCAATGTTGTTCTTACTCTTTGTACTTTTAAATTCCACTTCCCTCTAAAATTATACCTCCCTTCTCTTTCTAAGAACCATTTACTTATTTCAATTGGGAGCATCCCTTTCCTTACCTTATATATTATTTGCACTGTTTTAAACTCGACCAGGTCCTGGAATTTTAAAGCTTGCGTCTTAATAAAGAGTGCGTTTGTGTGAGTCCTATACCCCTCCTGATTTATTAGTCTAACAGCCCTTTTCTGCATTATGATTATGGTCTGAATATTACTTTTATATGTGTTTCCCCAAACTTCTACACAATAACTCATGTATGGTAATATGAATGCACAATATAACATATATAATGTTTTCCTATCCAGAAAATGTTTTACTTTCCCCAAGACAGCAACGCCCAATGCAATTCATTAAATAATGTTTCGTAATGCTATGTAATGCATAAAAGCAGTTGTTAACACTTTTTAAATGGTTTATTAATGCTTAATAATGCACCCTCATTGTAAAGTGTTAGCCACTTTTGATTCTGTGGCAGTTGAATTATTAATTTGCTTTATGGACATTTTTGGTTAAAGGTGCAATAAGTAATTATTCTACAGTTTTAATAATCACAGAACAGTCTAACGTCTCAATCCAGCTGGGAGGAAAGCTACATAGAAACAGATTTTTTTCTCAGCTGACTGGGGAGTTGTCAATTTTTCCCCTTTAAAAATCGGACTAGGTATGTAGACGTAGTTCACAGTCTGTTCATTATTATTCATGACATGCAATCATCCGACATCTGATTGGCTAACGGTAACACCACTCTTCCACTTTCTCTGTTTGCTCCTTCTCCTTTAACAATGCAACGCTGATGTTTTATCTCCACATATAACACAAGCCTAAAGGAGATCTACCGTGTGGTAGAGTTGCTAATGCTAATGGTTAGCTTCTGCTAATCAAGATGTGCTCTGCTCTCTCCTGGAAGCTAAACCAACAACAGCTTTCAGTGGTCGTCGGCCAAGATGGGTGGGCGGGGTTAGCAATAGCTTGACAGAGACCTGAAACTGTTTATTCTGGAAGGTACTGAAACCACCAAGAATCCAAAATGACTTTGTGTGAGAGGGATTTAGTGCAACAAACTATTAAACCTCTGTCCCCTTTAATTTTTGACCTGGTTTCCTGCAGCAGGCTCGGGTCTGGTGGAACGTGTTAATGAGTTATAGGTAGTTTTCGGTGATGTTTGTCCAAACGAAGCAGACGCTTAAAGTGATTAGTGGGGCTGGATTTAATGCTCTCTGCTCCTGTTTTTCCTGCTTCTGTTCAGATATCCTGATGCTACTCCTGAAGACCTGCAGGCCTCGGACAACGTTTGCATCATCTGTCGAGAGGAAATGGTCACCGGAGCCAAGAAACTACCTTGTAACCATATTTTCCACTCCAGGTAAATCCATCGTGACTCAGCAGACCGGGCAGATGTCAGACATTTGACACGGCTTCTGAACCAAAGCAGGAGTCGGTGTGGAAAATCAAACACGGCCTCAATAAAGATCTTTATCACTGTGATGCCTTTAACATTCTCCTTTTGTTTGCTAGCTTTAATGAACGTTTTCATTGTCCTTCCTGCTCAACAGCTGCCTGCGCTCCTGGTTCCAGAGGCAGCAGACCTGTCCAACCTGCCGAATGGATGTCCTCAGAGCGTCCAACAACAATCAGACTCCACCTGCAGCCCAGCCGCCAGCCCCGGCCCCAGCAGCCCCCGCTAACGCAGCAGCAGCCCCGGCCCATAATGGTGAGTCCAAACAGGGACGCCTGATCACACACACACACACACACACACACACACACACACACACACACACACACACACACACACACACACACACACACACACACACACACACACACACACACACACACACACACACACACACACACACACACACACACACACACACACACACACACACACACACACACACACACACACACACACACACACACACACACACACACACACACACACACACACACACACACACACACACACACACACACACACACACACACACACACACACACACACACACACACACACACACACACACACACACACACACACACACACACACACACACACACACACACACACACACACACACACACACACACACACACACACACACACACACACACACACACACACACACACACACACACACACACACACACACACACACACACACACACACACACACACACACACACACACACACACACACACACACACACACACACACACACACACACACACACACACACACACACACACACACACACACACACACACACACACACACACACACACACACACACACACACACACACACACACACACACACACACACACACACACACACACACACACACACACACACACACACACACACACACACACACACACACACACACACACACACACACACACACACACACACACACACACACACACACACACACACACACACACACACACACACACACACACACACACACACACACACACACACACACACACACACACACACACACACACACACACACACACACACACACACACACACACACACACACACACACACACACACACACACACACACACACACACACACACACACACACACACACACACACACACACACACACACACACACACACACATTCTTAATCACATTAGGTAGAGTAGAGAGCAAGAGTGCAGGAATCACATCTGTGTTGCTAGGCAACCAGAACCCTGTCCAGGATGCAGCTAGTTTCTGCAGCTTTATCATGAACAGGATGGAAAAAGGTTCTGTTCACCTGGTGGAGCAGTAGGTGGCACTGTTGCCTCGCAGAAAGAAGGTTGAAGGTTCAAATCCTGGCTGTGGCCTTTCTGCATGGATGTTCTCCCCATGCATGAAAAAGTTGACTTTATTTAAACATGTTGATAAAACCAGTAAATAAAACAAACATTATAGATACTATAGTCATTATTATTGATCAAATACAATCATCATCATATTATCTGTGACCCGGTGCATGCTGAAGGCGCAGGAGGCAGGGTAACTTTATTTAACGAGAATAAATTCTTTGTTACATTTCAGTTAGGAAAGTGCCACTCACCGGGGTTAGGGTTCCATATTCTCACACATACTCACGACATGCAGGGCTTTACACACATGCACTGTGCTGAAACGGTGCATGACGTCAAAGGCTTCATGTCTCAGTCTGCTTCACACACTCAGAATGTTGCATGTGTGCACCTCCACTCTGAAACTGCACCTTCTCGTTGGGGTTAGGAAACAGTTCTGCACGCTTTAGCATTTTCCTCCGTGGAGATTGACATGCATCCAACTAGATCTCCAGTTGGACATCTTGTTGTTTAGTAAACGTGCTTTTTATTTATTTATTTTTTCTTTTCCACCAGTGGCTCCAGGAATGCTGCCAGGCTTCCCTCCTGGCGTCTTCCCTTTCTGGGGTCCTTTTCCCGCAGGGCCTCCAGCTGCAGCAGCAGCAGCTCCAGCTCCTGGTGCCACTGATGCTCCTCAGAGCAGCACAGAGACAGCCGGTAAAATCAACCTGCACCACAAAATCACCCATGAGCATCCTCACATGATTCTATTGCGCAGAGGCTGGGTGTGATTCATACGTGTTGGATCTGTTCCCATCAGGCACCAGCACCACTACATCTGCAGACGCGACTACATCCGCAGCAGCAGCTCCAGGATCAGCAATCCCAGGATTCCCCTTCTCGTTCCCCCCTCCCCCCTTCCCCTCTGCACCATGGCTGCCCATGCCTCCACCTCCTCCCTTCGGTAGGATTTTGCAGCTCTTGAAAGCGGCCAACTTAGAGGAAATCCGAACACTTTAACCATTTAGGGTTATTCAGTGTCGTTACATCAGAGCCTGAACAATCATCTAAACAGTCGCCCCCTTCTTCGTCTACAGTGTCCTCGATGCCTCCTCCCCCTCCATCGCTGTCTCAGCTGTCGGAGGAGGAGCTGAGGGAGCTGGAGGCCGAAGGGCGGCGCGGCCTCGAGGCCAGGCTGCAGTGTCTCCAGAACATCCACACCCTGCTGGATGCCGCCATGCTCAACATCCACCACTACCTCAGCACTGTGGCCACACTCGCGTACGTAAATATCACAAACCCGCCGCCTCTCAGCGACACGAGTTGGCCCAGATGTCCAGATGCTTCATTGTATTGTGTCTTTTATATCAGGGCTGATTGATGATGGAAAATTCACACTGTGATATAAAAAAAATACATAAATTTTTACCAGATGAGTGGAATAGAACTTTAAGTTGGATTACGATTTACATACCGCGGGTGGCAAAGTACATTCCTGCAGTCGTGACCGGAGACAAGCTCAGAAGTACAAAATTACTAACAGTTCCAAGCCTCGTGTCGTTGGCAGAACGGAAACGTTTCAAACAAAAATGTCCAAATAATGTCCTCCAGTAAAATAATTAGTCCTGCGCACGTCTTATGTCCACAATCCAACGTCATATAGTGCCGAAAATCTACAAAATTTCATTCAGATGCGTCTCTTCCGAAGTTTTGATCATAATCTCCGTTAGCATTGTCACGTTAGCTTCTAACCTTTACAGCACTGACCCTGATGTGTTGTGATGGTTATCAGTTGAAGTACCTCGCTATTCTCACGCGTAGCTCAAACCAGCTGCAGGCCAACACATTGGTGATGGATGTGTCAAATAGCCGATGAAATTCAGAAAACAACAATCCTGTGTTTCGCCACTAACCCATCCCCTCATGGGCTGCTTCCTAAGAAGGATTATGGTGGGTTGCTGTGTGTCAGGTAGCCCCAACACTAGATGTCTGACATCCCATCAGGACCTATGATGTCACCGTGAGGTTTAAATGCTGACACAGCCCTACTTACGGGATAAAAGAGCAAATTGCAGGTTAAATTTTATTTTTCTAATTCATATAAAATGCTGTCCAAAAATACTATTTGAATGCTTATTGTGGATATTTGGTTTTAAAACAGCAGTTTTCTAGTAGAAAGTGTCCTTTCTCAGCAAAGCTTCTAAAAAGGCTCTTTTTTCTAAATGTGAACGTCTGACGTAACCAAAGGGAGTTAGACGCTAGGCTGCCTCAGCTCAGTGTGGAGAGTGGCTAGTTTTAGGGTAGAGACGTCATGTGATCCAGTCAGTGTTGGATTGTGTTCATGTTGATAAACTAGAGTGTGTGAAGGCTGTACCAACTCCAGCGTGTCTGGACATCGAGTCCACGGCTTTCCAGATTAGAGAAACGACGTCTCTATCTCCGTGTCTGAGGGCGTTTTGTGCAGTTGAAAAGACGACTTCTGTAGCCCACATCGGTCGGTACCGGATCAGGGAGCTCCACGCTGGGCTCCGGAGATCCGTGGCGAGTTTTAAAAATTAAATGTGGATTTCTGGAGCTCAGATCTCTGTCAGAACCAGGCCAGAACCGACCACCAGAAGAGACGTGTGGCTCAGCGGGCCAGTCGAGCTGGTTTATGGGTTGGAACCGGATCAGAACCGCCGCCTGGACCACCAGGAGAGGCTGCGCAGCTTTTAAAAATACCAACTGGTTTGGCTCGCTGGTGTCTGGGTCGGACCCAGCTCACAGAAGCCTGAATGAGCTCCAGAACTAGATCACAGGTGCCTTTCTCTAAGCACTAAACTAGGTTATGTGAACGGATATTAACGAGTATGAGACCGCTAACAGACGCTCATCAGTATTAATATTATGTTAACTGACCAATACTACTTAAACTGTCTGGTACACGATAGTAATCTGTACAATATTGTGATGCTAGCACACGAGTTTAAGCTAACATGGTTAACTCACCAGACACCCGCTACTTCCTCTCTCTCTCTCTGCTTCATCTGCTTTGGCCGATGGTTTCTCCCTCTGGTGTGTCTCTGCTCTCTGGGGCGAGCAGCAAACTCATAACTTTATAGTTTTGGTCCATCAGAAGTAGAATTATAAACTTTAAAGTTTCCTCTGTGTCAGAGCCGCATTAGAGTCCATATGTTTCTCTGGATTAAGCTAACAGGACTCCCTCAGCTGACGTCACTCGGTTTGGCAAAAACAAAATTCTCACAAAAATGACTAGAATCCCGAATAATTAATGTTTGTGTAAAAAAATGTTTAAAACGAGTTTCTATTACGTTTCTCTAAACATCGGTCCATGGGAGTCTCTAACCTGCAATATGATCGTTAAGCCGTGTGGCTGAATCAAGCATCCCAGGTCTTCTCAGTCTTTGTGTGATGTCATCATGCTGACTAAACGCATCATTGTTCTGCTTCCTCCCAGTCCTCCCCGACCTGACAGCAGCACTGGGAACCCCAGTGGAACCAACGTTTCCTCTCCTCCAGCTGCCACCAGCACAGAGAGTCCCACCACAGAGGACACGTCCATCTGTAAGGAACTGTCTTCCTGTCCCTGCAGGGTTAACACTTCTCACTAGCTCAGTTGTCTCCGGCTCACCCGCTGCAGCGGGGATTTATAAAAGCAGATTAAGTATTCACACGACTGGAAACCACAGGTGTGACGTCTAACGTGTAGAAGCTGTAGTGGTGTTGGCTAACCAGAGCCACCTTGTTTCCAGCTGAAGAAGCCAGCGGCGCCAGAGTCTCCTGCCAGCCCACGGACTCCACCTCCTCTGCTTCAGACGCCGAAAGAACAGAGAACACGGATGAAGGCGTGATGGAGGACGACGGCATGGGAGAGCCAAGTGCCGCCGAGCTGAGGCGCCGCCGTCTTCGCAAGCTAGAGACGGCATCACCGTCATCCTCGCCGCCCCCTCCTCCAGACAACTGATGCGGGCTTTGAGACTTGGGCGTGAAGCTCGGAACCATCAGGAACTCTGAAGACTCACAGCTGCTTTGGTTCTACGTTGCCTCTCTTCCTCGTGGCTTCTGCCTTCCTCAGGCTCAGGTTTCGTCGGACTCGGGGCGCTGCGGGTATAGAACTGTCTGTCGGACCGCATCTGTTGTTTTTGTTTTCTTCAGCCCCCCCCCCCCAGGATGAACTACATGCAATACCGCCGGCGTGAGAGGCCGCATTCAGATTGACCTTTGCTAGTCCTACTGTTGTTTAACTGCATCTTTTAATTCAGCTGTCTCCAGTAAATAGACGGTCCCACATCAACACAGCACCAGTCCAGTTGGAGGGAAACCAGTTCTGCTTTTCTACATCACACCTGGTTACCTGGGATCTGACGGGTTTCCACTGATGACACTGTAACATACGGAGTTGTGTACATACTGTATAAAGTTTTAATAGGATGATCTTTACATGCTGCAGAACTGACTGAACAGCGCGCGCGCACACACACACACACACACGTACGCCGTTGGTGTGAGCGTTGCCACAGAGGAATGTGTTGAAGCGCCTCCCTTCAGGTCTCCTGCTGCAGCGCTCTGTTACCTTTAAGAGTTTAAATTAAAACTCATTGCTGATTGAAAAGAGACGTCTGTTCAGTAACTTAGATTAGTGCTTCGGTTTCAGCGTTTTTAGTGGAAAGTAGCAGAACCACCCATGTTGTTTTTCTTATTTTACAAGAACGAAACCGGATCAGCACAAAGGGTTTCACCTACAGGGTATCCGCGGGTCCTTAAAAAGTCTTAAATTTGCTTTTCCAAATTTAAGGCCTTAAAAATCCTTAAAAATGACAAATAATCCTTAAAAACAGTTTCCAAAGGTCTTAAATTACCAAAGACCCAGTAAACAAAATATTTTTTATTTCTATAAAATTTTCATGAATTTCTAGTTAGTGTTCAGTATTTTTTGTGTACGATGTTGCCGTAAGCGGAACCATACACATTCAGTTGGTTGTGTAAGGGGGCTATTTTTAGATGAGCACGTTAGCTGGTTAAGCTAGTGGGAGCTTGCGCCATGGGGAAGTTTAATGGTAACGGGATGGCTAATCCCACGTTTGCGACGTGGTTAGCACCGGCTCCAGGCAATAGCTGGAAATCATAGCTTAAATTTAATTCATCAAATAGCTTCAATTTGGTCAAAGTGGCCTTAAAAAAGGTCTTAAAAAGTCTTAAATTTGGCTCCTTTAAACCTGCAGATACCCTGAACCTAGAAAATCTTACACACAGTTTTTGTCCTAATAAAAATCTGTCGTCAGAATATTTGTACTGCTGCTCTGACAAAATTAGATACACTCTAAAAATTGAGTTCAAATTATCTAAGTTAAAATAACTAATTCAACAGATTGTCATAATTTTATTGACTAATTCTGTACAGATAAATTTTTTTAATACAAATTTCTGAAATATGTCTAAACATTTTGTTGTCATGTGATACTTTAGGAAGTGATCTTGCTGCTGCTACGCCTGAGGTTCTGCAGCCCCTCTGATGTGGCTCCTGTAACCCAGAAAGGCCCAAGCCCGGATGATTAGAATTAAGTTTACTACAGCAGACGGCTGTTTTAGCACAACTCTCTGATACAAGCGGAGTTTCTCTCCAAATCCACCAGAAAACCAACGTTTTCTGTCTAATTGAGCTCATTTAGAGTTATTACATGACCCCTTATTATGCAAGTCTTCCTCCAGCTCCGTTCGTATAGCACCAAATCCCAACAGGATGAATGAATCTGCTTATCAGTGCACCGAGTTCAGTTCAATATGCCTTTTAGTTAAGTTTTCTATGTAGGGATGCAGATGGCATCACGTCGATGACTTAGTCCCGATAGTAAGCAAGCATGTAGCAACAGTGGAGAGGAAAGTTGCAAATAAGCAAAACCTGGAAACATTTTGTAATTTTTTTCCTTTTAAAGACATCCTTCACTCATATCTGTAATACATCTGCAGTGATCTCTAGTAGAAGTCGTAATCGGGGGGGGGGGGGGGGGGGGGGGGGAATCTCCGGTGTGCCTGTTTCAGCAGCGAATCCAGCCAGAGGAGAAAGTAGCTGCAGTTTTATTTCCTGATATTCAGACATCTCTCTTCTGATTGGCTAACAGAAATGCAACTCTACCACTGACTCGGTTTTCTTTGTAACGTTGATGTTTCATCTCCACAAATAACACAAGCCAGGAGGAGTTCTGCTGTGTGGTGGAGCTGCTTATGCTAACAGTTAGCCTCTACTAGCTGAGACGTGCTCCGTTTCCTGAACAGCTGCGTTTCAGTGAATAAGTTCATGAATGAACCAAAGCAGCCTTATAAACAAAAAGAAAAGGACATTCAGTGCTGCAGACCCGTAGACGGAGCCCAGAGGGTTTGTTGTACATTACATGTGAACACAAGTGAAGGCTGATACTCATCAGACTGAAACATGAAACCTCTAAATATTTCCAGCTAGCAAGAGGACGAGCAGGTTTCTGTCAACATGTTTATTGGTTTGTTGACGTAGGCAGAGTCAGTCGTGTGTGCAGGTCAGCCCTGCTCGTCGGGTGGAACGTTTCACTTGTAGCAACGGTTAAAAAGGTAGACACATAAATAAAACATCAAACCTGGAATGCACCAAAAGAACAGCAGCTAGTAGCAGCAGCTCTTTCAAATATACTCAAAGCTTATAAAGTCACAGGGCTGCACCAGCGCCGCAGACAGATTAGTACAAACTGTAGTTTTGATGAAGTTAAATGAGCTGCTTCTGACAACAGCAGGTATATAAATAAAATAAAACAAGCTCAGCGTCTCTTTCTCAGACGCTGAGAAACGGCGTTCCCTTCTTCAGCTCCTGCGGGAGTTTTTACGGCCACGTTTGGTCCTTTTAAACTGGGAGAGCGGCGCACGGTTCGGACCGCTGCTCTCTGCAAGGTGCTTATCCCAGAGGTTCCTGAGGTTTTGGTGCAGTGGGTGGGTCCGCTCCACCCGTCAGCGTGGACACGGCGGCTCAGAGCGTAGCTCAGGGTGGGCTCAGTTCTGAGGGGTGGAGTACAACGAGTGGTGCTGGTGGCTCTGGTCTGGAGGGTTGTTGGCAAACAGAAGAGGAGCGGTTTCTGATGCGTACCAGCTGCACACACAAGAAAAAGGGTCAGAAGATCGTGAGACCACTCTTAGTGAAACTGCTGATGAGGGTGGATCATAATAAAACACTCAGGTTTCCACTGGCTGTACATCTCCCACCGCAAACACAAAGATGGCTCCAATTAGATCAGTTTGACAGATGCTGGGCTGAAGGTTTAAAGCCTGTTTTATTTCCCCTGCGGACACGTCGGTCTCTGGGATCCGCGTCCGCAATCCGAGGAGAGAAATAAAAGGCGGCGTCACAACTCCAGGCTCTTTGTTGCACCTCTACACGTTCAGACTTGTAACAACAAAGTGGGAAACAAGAGGATTCTGCTTCCAGATACAGGAAGTCTGTACTTGCATCGACATAATCAGGAGTTATTGGACTTCAGCAGAACATTTCAGTTGTGCTGAGGAACTCATCTGCTCTCAGAAGCTCAGACCGAGTTTCCTCAGACAGATAAAACAGTCTCAGGTGGCGCTGTCGCTGAGATCAGTGCACCTGTGGAGAAAAACGTGAGCCTGTCACAAACATTCTCGGGTCCTACTGCCAGACGAGAGATCAGATCTGGTGACACTTTTAAAGTTCACTCGTTCTGTCAACACGTGCAGCGGTCTCTAGCGAGAATGAATGCCTTGTGACGCATGAGGGAAAATATTAGGGATGCATGATAATGAATTTTTACAGCCGATACAGATAACTGTGTTTTTTAAAATACCTGGGAAATAATTATAAGTACTAAGTAACAGTGTATGGTTTATAGGGCTGGGGGTAAACGATTATTTTTAAAACGATTATTCTGACGATTATTTTATCGAATAGTCGACTATTCTAATGACTATTTAGAAAATTAATCTAATGATTATTTTTCTATTGCACAATTAACAAAAACCAGAAAATCTCAAATAAATTCCTCAAAAAAATTGATAAATTCTTACTGTAAGAGAATAAACACTACAGGCCTTCCATTTTGTATAACACTGCGTTTATTGTGTTGGTTGGTTATGTTCTGGTGACGTGTAGAACTTGGGAGAGCAGGCTGCTGCCTGAGAGGTGGTAGAAGATGGAGTGTCTCCATGCTGCTTTGTTTTGGTCACTTATGTGCGTGAGGCGAGTGGTCTTACGGGTTAAACCAAACTCAGGTGATATTTTACACTAAACCGAAAACCCACAACACTCTAAATGTAATAAAAGGGAGATCTACACCACAAAAAAAGATGAACTCTAAACCAAAACGTAACAGCTTATCCCAACGCAAGAAGCTGTTAGCGAAGATGCTAACAGTAGCTTTACCAACGTTAAGTTCAAGTTACCAAGTTTAAATAAACCAAAAACACCCAGCAGCAAACAGACCAGCATGGAGGAGAGACTGCTACCACCAAAACAGCTCTCCTAGTGTCTGAAAGAAGCTCCTTAATGAAGGGAGAAGCGCTCCCGGTGATTTTCTACATCTGCGGTAGGCACGAAGCAGCGCATCTGACCCCGGAAGTTGTTGTCCGATGCCGGGAGACGAAGGGGCAAAACAGGAAAATAATCTAGTAGTGGACGGACGTTGTTCCGGGTCTTCGGTGTTTGGCGGAGATGTTAGTGAAGGCGGAGAAGAGGGCGAACTAGAGGAAAAACAGGCAGATTCCTCCTCTATTTACAAACTCCTGGGGATGCAACAAGTGGGCGCGGTGCGTCGACTTCCGGATCTGACGTCGACAAATTTTTTAGAATCGAGCCGTCGACTTCGTCGAGGCTTCGCTACAGCCCTAATGGTTTAATCCAATAAACCTACAGAACTATTACTGCCTGAAAGGAAACTGAACACGTTGGACAAAAAGTGCTTTTTTTCACTTCTTTTCTGCGTGAATGACACGCTCTGATGATCTGTCAACAACGAAAGGCCCTTACAATCGCCAGAACGAATAAGATTATCTTAATCAGGGTTGTACGGTATTAGGAAAACCTGCGATGACGGTGGTTAATATTATCGATGACGATAAGACTTGCGATGAATAAAATCTTAACTCAGGAACAAAAAGAATCAAAAACAAAGTAATAAAAGACAGCAAATAAATCATAAAAAGGAGAAAAGCAAAAGATGTGAGGAAAAGGCAATCAGTGGATCCCGGGAAAAGCAGAATCAGCAGAAAGAGCAGAACAAAGCTAACTCGGGTGTTTGCTAACCATCAAAATTAAGTGCATTATGTGTAGCAAACATTTGCGCTGACCAGTCATTGCGATATTGTGCATGCCGATATCACGATAACGATATATTTGCGATATATTGTGCAGCCCTAATCTTAAATAAAGCATTTTCTCAATACAAGCCTTATTTACCTACATAAGCTTGCTTAGACTTCAAACCAAGTGCATGCTTAGTCTTAGTCCCACAGTCAGTCGTAATCACAGGAGCTCGTGGGTGTTTCTTGTTGAACTTTCACATTTATCAAATTCAGATGCTTTCCGTGTGTTGTCAGGAAGCGCGCTAGCCTTAGCGCCGGTGGCAGCTTCATAATCCTTCCACGAGTTGTGGCAGTGTCTGATTTTTAGGCAACTTATAACATTTGTTGTGTAGCTTGTTCTTTTTACCCCCTCGTGGCACTTCTGCTGAACACGCGTCACAAACAGCGAGTGAATCATCTTTCTCTGTGGAGTTTTAATTATCTTAAGTATTAGTATGACGTCATAATTGTCTATTATCGGCCGATAATGATCCGTAACCGATATTATCGTGCATCCCTAGAAAAATCTCTGGCGCTCCTGTTTCAAGAACTAGAAGTGAGTCACAGCAGAAGGGAAGCAGAAAACGGCGGGATTTGGAGTCTCATTTCCTGATATCCAGACATCTCGCCTCTGATTGGCTAACAGCAACACTACTCTACCACTGACTGTTAGCTTTGCGACGCTGATGTTTTACCGACACAAATGACACAAGCCTGAAGGAGTTCTGCTGCGTGGTGGAGTTGCTAATGCTAACGGTTAGCTTTTACTAGCCGAGACGTTCTCTGCTCTCTCCGGGACGCTAAACCAACAACAGCCTTCCCTGTCAAGAGTAAAGATGGTTGTGTTCATACGTGTTCATTTTCGGTGTGACGTAGATCTGAGATCTGGTCCTGAAGTGTTCGTAGCTTGAATTCATTCATCACATAACAGATCGAGCAAGCTCTGCGGGTTTGTGCACATCCGTGTTTTCTCCGCATAAGATCTCATTTCAAAGCTCAGCGGATGATGTTCATTACTTGTAGAAATTGTCAAACTTTAAAGGGACTCTAAGGAAGTTTGGCAGCCAAAACATGTATAGAAATAATAAATGTCTTCTTCATACGTTCTCCTGCAATGCCCTGGTCCTGTAGAATGAGCCCTGGCATTTTTACTGTGATTGCCTGTTTTTCTGTAAAATCACAGAAAAAGAGAGATGCTCGGGTCGAGCAGGCTGCTTCATGCGCGTTCACGCTCAGGCATCGCCCGTAGCATTTGCTATCCGTAGCTTTAGCAGCAGAGAGAGAGGCAGTGCCACTTTGTCGCTGTTCCTAACGCCTAGTGACAAAGCTAGCTACATTTCTGAGGACCCTTAGCTACTTTCTGTAGAACTTTCTTCTAGATATTTCCTGCTAATTAGCAACAAAATAGCCATTTTCACTCCGAACCGTTCTTTAACCGTTGTTTCAGCTGTCATCAAGGATATAAATGTTACAGATACAGAGGATGTCACTGGCGCTGTAACTCACCTAGTAACACGTCGGACTCTCATGTAGAAGACCTGGGTCCGATTCTGGATGTGAACATAGTTTATTTAGAGTTTCTTTTTTACATTAATGGTATATTTTTAACAGTAAGATGCCCAAATTTTTATTTGAGACTCGCCGAACGGCATTGAATTCACAGATAAAAAAGATGTGGGTTCAACTTTCATTTTGGAACAATTTTTCAAGCAAGGGAAGGGAATGATCTGAGCATGCAGGAGGACTGACCCATCATAAACCTTTGTCGGCTGTGCTGAAGAGAAAGCTACAGAACCAAATTATTAATTAGCTGTGCGTTCTAATGTCCTCTGTCCTCCGGGACACACACACACGGACACACACACACACAAGGGACTGTCTCAGCTGTTATTTTTGTTAAGGAGTGTGCACGTACAGCATGCGCGCCTCGTGCACGAGCCTACTATAGAAGCTGCTGTTACGCTTTTGGCCTGAGGGGGCGATCACAAGCATAAAAATTAGGGATGCACCGATACGATACTGGTATCGGCACAGATACCGATACCTATACCAGTATCGGTAAAAGTTAACCGATACCAGGAACCGATACCAATGCAGTTGCTTGAAAATGGCTTCACAGTAACTTGTCATTTCTGTTCACCTAATATTTTAGTTTTGTGATGATTTCCATTCATATATTTTACTTTTTATCTACCTCGCAGTCTTTTCCTGTTGAAAACAGAGAAGAAAATAAAATCTGTATTCCAAATCATCGCATTTTTTTGTGTGGTAGAAGTATCGGTATTGGTAATCGGTATCGGCGAGTACTCAGATCCAAGTATCGGCATCGGTTTGGGAAAAAGTGGCATCGTTGCATCCCTAATAAAAATTCAAAAGTCCGAAAAGTCCCTTTAATTTCATGAGCATTTATAATGTTTCTACCTTGAACTCTCGGTGGACTCTCGAGCCCAAGGAGCAGGGATGTCGTCGTCGCTGCCTTGAGGGTCGTCAAAGAAATAGGGACGAGGCAGCACCCTGTTGTTGACGGCCATGCTGGTCTGTGAGGAATACAACGGTCAGAGGGCGTGTGAGTGCCTTGAGTGAATACTCAGTCAATGGGTGAGATTTGGCGCTCACCTCCTGGGCGGGTCTACGGACTCTGAAGATGAGGATGAGGAGGCTGGTTGGGAGCAGCTCCCATATGAAGATGATGGCACCAAAGGCGATGTAGCCTCGGTCGCCCAGTTCGCTCTGCAGGTCAGCCTGAGGCCACAAGCAGGACGATTAAAACAGAGCAGAGATAAAATCCCTCACTGATGCTGGCCGAGTCTGACCTGATCAGAGACGTTGTACCAGTCGTAGCCGAACGACTCTACCGGATGTTTCAGGGACAGAAACAGGACTGCCAGGTTGTAGCAGGCTCGGCTGGTGAACAAGAGGACCACCGCCAAACCCAGAGCTGCCGTTCGACAGACTGTCGTCTCCTAGTCAGAGAAATGCATCAGAACACATCTGGCAAGGTAGGAGGTACTTTCCCCTTTGCGGGTTTGCCATCCTTCTGAGGACAGATGCTGACCTTGTTGATCAGGTACGGGCTGGCCGAGTGGGAGTGCCGGGTCAAGATCAGCAGCACCGCGGCTAGCAGCACCGCGTTCACGATGAAAAGCAGGTCGTTGACTATAACTCGCACCAAAACCAGCCTCCAGGTCCGCTTCCCCGACTCGCCGCTGCCGTCTCTGTCCCCCAGAACTGCACAGGTAATGTTGACACAGAGGAAGATGATGCTGAAGGTCGTACATGCACACCGGGCCACCCATCTGAGGATCACACAGAGGCGGGGACAGAAGCATGACGCAGCCCTCCTCAATAACAAACATGCACATTTAAATCAGGACAGCAGCGAAACTCACAGTCCTCGGTTCAGCGCTGAGATGCAAGACTCTCGGATTTTGAGTAATACCTGTGACACGGGGGGGGGGGGGGGGGGGGGGGGGGGGGGCGCAATACCCTTGTTTAAACGTTTCAGAGATTTCACTTTTGATTTTAACTTCTTTTACCCAAGTGACCTCTCCGGGTTCCGATCAGCCTTACCTGAGTGAAATACAGATTGATGAGGCTAAAAGTGAAGAACTGCAGGCAAACGGGGAAGCAGTAGAGGAGCCAGAAGACCACTATCGGGAAGCGATTTGCCTTCACAGCGTCGTAGAAGTAAAAGGTGAACAGTGTGGTGCGAAGGGCGGCCCAGAGCAGGCAGAGGAACAGGAAGATGCTCTGGTAGCTCCATCGCTTGTGCTTGTAGAGGTAGAGCAGCCACAGCTGAACGTAGACCACCAGGAAGAGGCTCGCGTACAGAGCCGTGTACAGGATGGTGAAGCCCAACTGGACCGAGGGGGCAATGGCTGGATTCAGGGGGGCCGGAGGGGGCAGATAGGAGGAGTTGGGAGGAGGTGTAGCTGTGACCAGAGCTTCCATTGGAGCGCTGGCAAGAGCACTAGAAAGTCATCATCGCTGGGATGCTGTGTAGTTTTATTCCTTCTGTCTGACGGGCCTACGCAGGAGGTCCTGAAAATAGAAACTCCAGGTCAGAATCTGAAACCCCAACACTTGGGACCAGAGGAAATCAGGAATACGGCACCTTCTGGAACACTTACAGCAGTTCTTATCTGGCTTTTGGGAAGAAATGTGAGATCATTCTGAGCTGAGACTTAAGAATCCTGCAGCCGAACACTGTCATGAGTTCGGCTTGGGCTCAGTGGGACAGGCCTTTACTGCACGGGCCTTTTTCAAGGGATCCGAGCTGGAGCGCGTGGAGTCCAGAATCACCGACCCAAAGTGCTGCAGGAATGAAGAGCATGTAGAAATGTTATCAAAGAAGAAAATCAGCTCTGAGGCAAGGCTGATCCGTTTCCAGCGCTAATAAAAATGCTACTAAACATCAATTTTTACATGCATCTTCGAACAGTTCCGATATATTCAGTCCTGTTTTCTATACTCTTCACGCGTGTTGCATCCTGTCATGATTCAATAAAACATAATAAGGAGATTGAAGATCTTCTCCCAGACAAACACTTACTCTAACTCTGATGCATATCTTAGTTTAGCCCCTCCCACCCCGCCCCAAAACAAAAACAACCGAACAACAACAATGTCAAGTGCTTCTGAAACAAGATCAACAACATCTTTACACCTTGAGTTGATTTAAATCACAGACACTGATTATATATTAGCTGCTAAAACGCACCATGTTGAGTCACCGTGAATTATCTCTAATCGCCCTGAATACACTTACAATAGCACCAGCAAATGTCCTTTTCGACGCACGACATTATAGAACAGTTGAGTTTCCGCTCCGTTACGGCTTTACTATAGTTCTAAAATATCCACAGCCGTGTGTGTATTTTAGTAACCTTTGAAACCTCTCTGATTCACCTCTTTGGTCTTTGTAACATAAACAACCGAGCTAACAGGGCTAGCTTTCGCAACAAACACACATTTTAGGAATATCGGCTGAAGCGCGTTAGTTCCGCCATCTTTACTGACAAAAACATTTAAAACTGAGAGCTGTCGACATTCACTGAGACAATAACAAACCTTCAGGCAGACATGGAGCTTCGGGATGATCTACCGATGTCAGTAGACCTGAGTACCTGCTGGTTTTCTTACGGAAGACTACGTAACGTCTGATGGGCGGGGCCACTGTTCTGATTGGCGGATGGAATCAAAAAATGTGGGCCCGCCCATACGTAACGTCTGATGGGCGTGGCCACTGTTCTGATTGGCGGATGGAATCAAAAAAATGTGGTCCCGCCCATAGATAGGTGGGGCTACCGTTTGTTTTTCCACCGCCAATCAACAAACGGCAGGAAATCGCGGTTCCTTCAAGTTATTGTTTACCACTGGATTGAAATGGTTCGGAACACGAGGTTCCGTGGTGCCACTCGCGTTTTCTAGGATGGTGTTTTATTGTTTACTTTAACAACAACAACCGAGTTTTCCTCATAAAGTTAACATTTAGCCACCTGCCCTCAAAATATCAGTCCGCCGTTTACTAACACCGCTGTAGACGTCAACGCCGAGCTGCTGCGTTAATTATAAAATAGCCCAGGATGCCGATGACGCTGCGGTCCAGACGGTCCATCCACCTCTCTCAGGCAGGTGGAGTCAAGCTACAAGCAACACCGACGAGGAGCTCGACCCGCCTGCAGGGGAAACTGAAATACGACGAGGTGGGTACTTTATTGCTCAGCTTTTCCGCCTCCTCTTCCTCCGCTGCTCGGAACCACAGCCACGTAGCTCGTTCACTAACGGCAGCGACGTTGGCTCCCTATTGGATAAACGCTCACAGAAAAGGCTTTTTTAAATTAAAGACCAAACTGTTATTTTCCATCTTTAACTGTTGGAGCGACTTCATCTCATTTAGCGTTTATGAGAGTGAAGCTGTTAGCATTTTAGCTAACCCGAACGTCACCGCGCCTCGCAACAGCCCACTGCTTAACTTAGTTATACCGAGTCATGGTAGGTTTTTCTTGATGTTAACTACGAATGTTTATTTAAGCTGACCAAAACCGTTTATTTTGTCAATGATGCTACGCATATCATAGTTAGTGCTAATTGTATCTGACACCGTTGTTTATGTATAACTGAATAAATGTGCACGGCTGTGTTATTTGTGCTCTCGTTTACTAAATCTGAGGTGTTTTGGTTGTTAGGAGTCCGATGAGATAGATTCTGAGTCTTCCCAGAGCGGGGTGATGGAGGGAGAGGATGCTGGGATGGAGGAGGAAGCTGCTGAGGAAGCAGAACAAACGGTGAGATATAAACCAGACACATCTCTGGCTGCTGATCTCCAACAGCAGCAGAAGCTGAGCCTTCCTCATGAGATCCGGGTGCGGCAGAGCTCTTTATTGAAAGCCAGAGAGACCTGAGCTGACAGAAACAATGCTTTGTAATCCTGTCTGCAGCAGGTTTGGAGTTTTGTGCATTGCAGGGGTGACTTGAGAATCAAACTTTACCCTGATGAGAATAATCCCTGCATAAATACTCATCTTCCATCTTTGCTGGAGAAAATAATGGCTGCAGCTGTTGAATGTCTTTAGAACTAGAGTACATTATAGATCCTTAGATTCATCAATTACCTGAGCTATATGTGTGCTCAAGCTGTTCAACTTTACTTATTAAAGATGTGGAACACTGAAAACCCATTTTCAATGATTCTTTCTGATTATAATCAGTCACTGAGTGTTTCAGACAGTCTCCTACACCCATCTCCTGCGTTAGCTTCTGATCTAAAACAGACGGTGAAACTCTAGGATTAGAAAATCCTGACAGATCTGCATCACACTGTCACTGAACATTCCCTCACCCTTTTTGACTCATGGTGGGCACGGCTGTTGGTTTTTGCATCCAGCGAAAAGCGGAGAACCTGTCGACTAGTAGATGCTAACCATTAGCATTAGCAACTCCACCAAACAGCAAAGCTCCTCCAGGCTTGTGTTGTTTGTGGATTAAGAAACGTCAACATTACAGAGCAAACCGAGTCAGCGGTAGTCACATTGCTGTTAACCAATCGGAGGCGAGATTTCCAAATGTCAGGAAATAAGAGTCCAAATCCTGCCGCTCAACCCTGATGTGGCTCACTCACTTCTATTTCATAAAAAATGGTGCACCAGAGTTTTTTCCCCCTGAGTACGACTTCAAAGGCATTCATCCCTACTAGAGACCTCTGGGAATGTATTGATTAAACGGGTGTTCTGCATCTTTAAAGAGCAAGTCACCATCTACCAGATTCTTACTCAACTCCCACTTCCTGTTTGAAAAATGCAACAAATGCTGTTGCCTAGCAGACCGAGAGGGCGGAGCCGCTAACAAATACACACACACACACATACACAGACTCACAATGACATTGTGGCATCATATGGTACCAGCTAACGTTCTAGGGTACCTCTTAGCCAATAGCGTGCAAAACTATTGACTGCACGTGCCTGCAGCACAATTAGACACGCATTTATATAGTTTATCATAAAAAAGTTGATTTGGCTGCGATGTACCCCGCCTGATTGCCCATTGACTGCTGGAGATGGGCACCAGTCCCCCCGCGACCCTACGTGGACAAAGCAGGTTCAGATGGATGGAAAAGTTGATTTGGGGGCGACTTGCTCTTTAATGAAGGATTCTACCGAGAGTCAGAAGCTGATATCGGCCCTCGGTACAGCTCTAGCTTTTGAAAGCAGCTGGTTGAGACAACCTCTACATTTCTGTCTGGCTGATGCTCGTTGTATCGTTCATGTAGGAAATCTTAGTTTTTATTTGATCCCATTATTCGATATATGTCGTTGGTTTCAGAAATAACCTGATTAGTCACAACACTGACATGTCAAACCAATTCTCAGAACAAGTAGGGATGTAAGAAAATATTGATGATACGCTTAAATACTGTGATATTTCATGTTCTGATACTGAATATAAATTTAAAGGCTGTGTATTGATTTTTGTTTTATTGATAATATACATGCATTTTTTACTGTATTTCTTTTATGTAGTGCAATTCAAACTCTGGCTGCTAGGTGGCAGCAGTTTCTACCGCCTTCATTCCGACCGAACAACGAGATTTCAGGATAACTCTGGATGTATTTTGGACGTGTCTGACCTGAGTGTTTGAATGCAATGTCGATCGAACCGTCTCCTCTGCATAGTGATTAATTACCATATTGCTGAATTCTTGCCAATACACACCCCTGAGAACGAGTAACCAACACAATTAAATATACCCTAGCAGTTCGATGAATAACATGGTTAATGAGAAAGTAGTCCAAGTTAAAGATGTCTGTTACCTCATTTAACTGGTCATATTCTTTTGAAGTTTGATTTATATTTAGAGTATTATTTAAAGAGCAAGTCACCCCCTACTTCACTCCCACTTCATGTTTGAAAAATGCAACAAATGCTGTTGCCAGGCACACCAAGAGGGCGGAGCCGCTAACAAATACACACACGGACTCACGACATTAAAGAGCAAGTCACCCCCTACTCCACTCCCACTTCATGTTTGAAAAATGCAACAAGTGCTGTTGCCAGGCACACCAAGAGGGCGGAGCCGCTAACAAATACACACACAGACTCACAACGACATTAAAGAGCAAGTCACCCCCTACAAGAAACTTACTTCACTCCCACTTCATGTTTGAAAAATGCAACAAAAGCTGTTGCTTGGCAGACCGAGAGGGCTCACAGTGGCATTATGACATCATAATGTTCCAGATGACATCATAGCATACCTCTTAGCCAATAGCGGTGGCAGATTTAAATTCAAATACAGTGCAGAGTTTTTACCTGACGACGGCGCAATGCTGACAGTTTTAGGCAGAAAATTTGAATTTTAACCAAGATGCACTGAACTGCCAAATTATTGACGACATGTGTCTGTAGCACGATTAGACACTCCTTTATATAGTTTATCAACAAAAAAAAGTGATTTGGGGGTGACTTGCTCTTTAATACATCATAATGTGCCAGCTAACTTCATCCCTCTTAGCCAATAGGGATGGCAGACTTAAATTCAAATGTAGTGCAGAGTTTTTACCCGACGACGGCGCTACTCTGACAGTTTTAGGCAGAATATTGAAATTTTAACTCAGATACACTAAAGTGCCAAATTATTGACGACACATGTCTGCAGCACGATTAGACACTCATTTATTTAATTTATTAGCAAAACAATTTGAACTGGGGGTGACTTGCTCTTTAAATGAACACAGCAGTGATCTCATATTCAGTTTGAAATGTGAGAACTTTGACACTGAAATGATGCTGTAGTCATGGTAACAGCTGTTATGTGTGTAAACAAATACAGGCAGGCTGTGGTGCGCCATTCACCAGAGCTGATTTGAATAGGTGTGTGTGGGGAGTGTTATCACTTCTGTGCTCCAGAGGCACGGTGAGGTCTGGAGCAAAGGCCACCAGGTGTTTGACTGTTCTTCTCCTTGGGTGACCTGGACAGGTGGCCAACAGCATTTAGGTGTGTGTTCATGTCTAACTGCTGCCTGGTGTGGTTCTTGTGTGTGTGTGTTGGAGTTTGTGTGAAAGGAGATCCTAGTAGCTGCTCTGTTTGTGCTTTGTCTCTTTTTAGGAACTGAAGCATTGTAGAGTCGTGCTGGATCGTGTCCACGTGGATGAAAATGTCCTAAAAAAAGAACTAGAAGAAAAAGAAGACATGAATCGTAAAGGTGGGAAACTCGCCTCCAGGATTCCTACGTTCCAGAAGCGTCCCGTCGCTCCCAGTCAGGCGACAGAGCATCCCGCTCCCAGATTAGACGCTCCTGTTACTGTTGCTCTGCCTGCTGAGAAAGCTGAAGGTGGACGTGTGGAGGCATCCAAGGCTAAGCCAGCCGAGTTCAGAGAAACGGCGCCCCCGCTTCCATCGGGCCGCATCCCTAGAATCGGCTCTGATCCTCCGTCTGTTGGCGTGGAACAAAAGGGTGACAGCTCTGTGATTCCTGGACCTAAATCCTGGAGCTTTTCTGAGTCGGTACCACATTCCCACTTTATTGCAAGCCCCAGACCTGCTCTCAGAGCAGAGCGGGACGCAAGTGATGCTCTGCTAAACGAAGCAGGTGTGGTTCCAGATCCCCCACCAAGCTGCCTCCCACCTGAGAACTCCCTCAGCCAGAAATCACAGGAACACGCCAGGCTCACCCCCACCAGAGTCATGCGTGTCTCTGTGGAAGAGGATGACATCACCAAGGTCCGCTCAGTGGAGGCGATCGTGGATGAAGAACCACCATGGAGGACAGGGCTCATGGAGGTGGAGCAGAGAGACTGCAGGTCTTCATCAGATGCTGAGGATGAAGATGAAGGTGAAGAGCTCGTGAAGCAGTCAGAGGAAACAGCAGATGACCCCAGCTGTGCTGCAGCACCAGAGGAACCTGCCCCAGTGTCCTCAGCCCAGTCCACTAAGGTGAGTCATTTGTTCCTGATGTCTTCCAGTGAGACAGTTTCAGCAGTGTCACCATTCCAAAGGAATGTCGCTCCACCCTGCAGCGACGGGTCGCGATGATGGTGCAACACATTAAACTCTACCTGCTGTTTCCAGCAGAGCTCCAGACGTTGGTGTCTGTTCCTCCTCTGGCTGCTGGTCCTAGGGGGGTTGGGCCATCACTTCTGGAAGTATGGGGTTCCCTCATCTGTGGCTCAGCTCTCGGCCCAGCTGGAGCTGCACTGGCTGGAAGGACCTGGTCTGCTACTAGCACCCTGCAGCTCAGACTGCCGGTAGGTTTATCATCACACCGCTCGCGTCTCGGAGCCCTCCCTGAATGCTGTCTGTTTGTCAAAAGTCAAAAATCGGATGAAAGGAGTGTGTGTGTTGTCCAGAGTGCAGCTGGTAGAAAGCATCCCGGTTGGTCTGTACCCAGCCTCTCCTTCTGGGCCGAGCATCGTGGACAGCTGGCTGCGTCTGCTGGACAGGGCCAACAGCTCGGTCCACATCGCTGCGTTTTACTTCACCCTGCAAGGCAGCGATGAGGAGACAACCGACCCCTCGGACTCTCAGGTTGGTCCAGTGTTGAGTCCCGTTCCGAAGCAGTGAGAAATTACAGCCGTTAATTTATGACCCAACTTGTTTAAAAGGGAAGAAAGGTGTTGGGACGGCTGAAGCAGCTTCAATCCAAAGGCGTCAAACTCCAGATTGCTGTGAACGCCCCACAGACCTCGACCAAGGACACGGCAGAGCTGGCTGCAGCAGGTGAGGCTCAGAGTTACCGACGTGTTTACATCAGACGACTGCGGTGGGTCGAGTTAATCAGCTGTGCTGTTTGACAGGTGCACAGGTCAGAGAGGTGGACCTCAGGGCTCTGACCGGAGGTGTCCTCCACACCAAGCTGTGGGTCCTCGACCACAAGCACTTCTACCTGGGGAGTGCTAACATGGACTGGCGCTCTCTAAGTCAGGTACGTCCACTTTAATCCAGCCTTTTATGTGGCAGCACTTAGGTGGGCAGGTGTGAGACGCAGTGAGTAGCTTCAGATGAAACACCACGTTGACGGAGAAACCATCGGAGTTTAACAGGCAGGCTGAACATGAAAATAGTCTTCTACACCTATCTCCTGGATTAGCCTCTGATGGAAAATAGATTGAAAAATGCTCGGTTCCGAAAAGCCCGACAGATCTTTGTCACGCAGTTAGCATTTAGCATTTATGGGCGCAACCATTATGACTTATGATGGGGAAGGCTGTTGCTGGTTTAGCTTCCAGTAAACAGCAGAGAATGCCTTGGCTAGTAGAAGCTAACAGTTGGCATTAGCAACTCCGCCACACAGCAGAACTCCTCCATGCTCGTGTTACTTTTAGATAAAACATCAACAACGTTGTAGAGCAATCAGTCGAGCTCTCTTTCCATCACACATGAAGACGGCGTGTGATGCAATGGCTGCATTTTACCCGCTAGCTCCTCCTCACCGGGAGCGATTCCGATGCGAGGCGAAAGCGTTCCACACGGCTGATCACGTGAGGTCAAAAAATCACGGGAGAATTGCACAACCACGCGTGATTGCTTTTGTATTTGACTTCCTGTCTGTCTCTATGTAAACCGTAGAGTTTGGTGTGGTTTGGAAGCGTATCGCGTAAAAGAAGACTCAAAGCGTAATAATGGCACGATCCCTTTGCTTCCGGGACGTGTGCAAAATGTTACACGTTGCTGTCGGTGGAAAAGAACTCATCCACTCTAACAGCATCGCCGTTTCACCGCACTCTCCCGTCCGGAGGATAGGAGGCTTCAGTGGTAGCCACATGAGTCAGTCAGAGGCAAGATGTCCAAAAATTAGGAGATAGACTCCAAAACCTGTTGTCTTCTGCCACTTTCTCATCCAGCTGACTTCTACAGACTCAAAACAGGTGCACCGGAGCTTTTTTTCCCCCAGAGTACAACTTACAAGGTATTCATTCCTAATGGAGACCACTGCAAATGTATAAAAATATGAGTGAACCTGATCTTTAAAACCAAAGATCAGGACTGCTGGAACTAAAGGAATCTGCCCTGAAAACGGAAAATCAAGAAGCTTCGCTCCCAACGGTGGTTTTCTCCCTGAAGGTGAAGGAGGTGGGGCTGTCGGTGGAGGACTGCAGCTGCTTGGCTCAGGATGCCTTTCGGATCTTTGAGGTGTACTGGAGCATCGGGGCAAACAGCGGTTCTCCTCCTCTGTTCTGGCCCGCCCGACTCGCTGCTCTGTCCAGCGCTGACAGACCTCTGCAGCTGAAGTTTAACGGCGTACCCGCTCGGGTCTACCTGTCTGTGAGTCCAGCATCACCTCAGCTCTTCAGAGAGCTTCAGCGAACCTAAATCTGTTTGTGTTTCTCCTGCAGAGCGCTCCTCCACAGATCTCACCTCACGGCCGCGCAGACGATCTCGCCACCATCTTATCCGTCATCGATGATGCCCAGAAGTTTGTTTACATCTCTGTCATGGACTACCTCCCCCTGTCTGAGTTTACAGAGCCACCCAGGTAGACCCCGACATCCTCGAGTTTGGGATAAACGCGCGTTACTGTGGGGTTAATGCTTTAAGGAGATCATGTAAATGATGGACTTTGATTGGCTGATGGGTTAAAGTTAGGTTCACATGTAAAATGGAAATTAATTCAAAAAAAAAAAGGAAGGAAAGGTTGGAAGTCAGTTGCTAGAGGTTTTGTAGTTCTCAAGAGTAAAAGTGGAGAAAAAACGTAGTTTATCTTCATAAGGATGAGTCTGGATCGTGTTGTGGTCTCCCAGGTTCTGGCCGGCCATCGACTCGGACCTGCGTGCTGCAGCGTGCACCAGAGGGGTTCGGGTCAGAATGATGGTCAGCTGTTGGGAACACTCTCCAGCCTCCATGTTCACGTTCCTGCAGTCCCTGCTGGTGCTCAGCAGGCCTCCGCTGAGATGCAACATTGAAGTGGTACGAATCTCATCAGCTGATCAGCAAACAGCCCAGCGGGTCCAGAATAAGCACTAAGATGCTCTTCTATCCTGTTCTTGTCCTTGTAGAAAATCTTCTCTGTGCCTTCAACACCAGAGCAGAGGAAGACTCCTTTTGCACGAGTCAACCACGCCAAGTTCATGGTCACAGACAGGGTGGTGTACATAGGTAATGCTACCTGCTGCTGCAGGAGTAGTCATGGCTTTTACTGTTCATCCCATAATCCAGACACCTTCCCGTCTGTTCACAGGGACATCTAACTGGTCGGAGAACTACTTCACTCACACGGCCGGCGCTGGCCTGGTGGTGAACCAGACCGGCTCTGAGGTTGGAGAAGACCAGCAGACTCTGCAGAGCCAAGCTGAGGAGCTCTTCCTCAGAGACTGGAGCTCAGACTACGCCAGCTCGCTGTCGATGGACGCTGTGGACTTCTGTCCTCCCAGTCGCCGCTGACCGTTTGCTTTTAGGTGGACAAACCTTGTATGAGCCTGCTGCTGCTGCCACTTGAACTTTATTTTATCTGAAGGTTTGGTTCTCAGTCAGCGACCGTAGCTGGATTTAACTGCTGCAAGCCGCCTGAGGTCTTATGTACATATTTGCCTTGAAACTTGATTTTTGTTTTTATTCTATTTTCTTACGAGGTGATATGCAAACCAAGAGCTTGGCTGGATTTGTGCCTGGAGCATTTTATATTTTCCCTAAAAAGTGCCAAGATTGAACGGTTTCAAGCAGGAAGAGGAAATGTGTGCATCACTTCCTGCAGCTTTAATGTTTGTGTCGTAAAACAACTGGGATGCTTTTCCTGTAAATGCTCCTTTTCTTGTCTAACAGGCGCCGGAGAAACATTTGGATGTTCACGTTTGAGAAAATCTGTGAATGTTTTGCCCTGAATGTACCATCTCTGCACCGTTTCCTCCATCAGCACATCACGATTACTGTAGAAGTGACTTCCTGTCATCTGCGCATGCATGTAGGACGGTTACACACACCTCCAGTGATCACTGACACACAGCAGCAATAAAATCTTCAATCCCATGGAAGCTTGTTGGATATCTTTGCAACCATCTTAAAGGTTTCTAGCCTGGCAAGCCAGACTGAATAAATGTATTATTTAGTCTGGCCACGCTCCATTGACGGCTCTGGGTTGTGGGGCGGGTTCTAGCGTTGTCTTTCAAATGATCTCCACATTCCACTGGATTCATCCTCTTGTTTCACTCTGTTGCATCATCCCACCCACCAGGCATATAGAGTGCCCTGATTGGCCCACAAAGCGGATAAAGCTCTGTGATTTGTTCACTAAGCAGATAGAGCACTATGATTGGCCCACCATTATGGACCAATCACAGCTTTTTATGTGTTTGAAACCCCTCCAGAGAGCTGTGATTGGCTAGCCAGAGTCCTGGTAGGAGCGTGCCTAGACCAAACTTTGCAAAGCAAGAATTTGGTCTAGTTCACTAGGCTACAAGGTTTCTGCACTTTGTGTATTTTCTCTAAATCCTTCTCACAAGCAGATGCAGAACAAGGGCAGAGAAAACCGATTCACCCTCGTTCCTCCAGCCAGAAACGGAGCAGCCTTGGATCCTGGACAAAGCTGAGAAGCAGCATCCTCCCTGAGGAAGGGGTTTTATCTGTTTATCAGACACTTGGTGCTTTCCTGTCTCTAAAACATGAAGACGTAAACCAGTTCCAGTGTGTAAATAGATTTAAAAGTATGAGTCAGTCAAACATCTCATCACTTTGCTAATTAAAGTGGTTTCTTAGCGTTCTACAGGCGGACGTTACTCTGATGTTCAGTTTGATGCCGTTTCACACAAAAACCTTCGAGTCCCTTCACGTTTCTCTTATTTTATTAACACAATTAAAATGTCTTATTTCACCACTAAACCATACAAAATGAAACAAGTTTAACAAACTCAAACATGCAGGGACCCTGTGCAGACTCTTGTTTAGGAAATCCTTCATTCTTTAGTCTCTGAAGTAGAGGTTTATCCACACTGGTGTGTGTGTGTGTGTTTGTAGAAATCCATGTTCCTGTACCATCCGATCATCCATCCACGTCACAAACAGGATTGGAGGACGGCAGTAATGTCTCTGATCCTCCTTCCTGTGTCCAGTCAGTGGAAGCTTGAACCAGCAGGGATCCTCTCGTCATTCCATGGAGAGCTGAACGCTCTCCGTCTGCTGCTGCTCAAACTTTCTGGCTACGGAGCAAGAAGACAACACAAGGTGGTTTTCAAAAGCCGTGCCGGTGATTTGGGTTAAAGAGAGAACATGTGTTTATTTGGATGAGAGGGAATTATTTATTGTTTAAACAAGCAAATTAGAAAATATATAAACGTGCCCTTTGTGAAGGCGAGCTTACCCAGGGAGTACATCTCCAGCTGCTGCCGCAGGCGGACCTTCTGGAGGCTGTCGTAGAAGTTGGGTTCTGGGCTGCTGCCCACAGCGGGAGGCAGAGTGAAGATCCTCATGATCTTCCTCTTGTTCCTGGTCAGAACAAACACATCAAGGATGGTCAACGCTGTGCCCAGAAAGGAGCGAATAAAAAGACATTTAAGGTCCTGAGCTCCTTAGAAACACCTGTTATCTAAACTTGTTATCTCCAACATCCCCAGTGGAGCTCAGGACAGTACTTGTATGGTTAGAGGCTCCAATAGTTGGGATATTTTCTAATTTATGTAAAAAATAAAATGAGAGACTAAATATACCCCCCGTTTACAGATATGACAAAAAAGCTACTCAAAGTTGATTTAATCCCCCAACTGTAAAAACCAAGTTCATGTGCACATTTGCTTCTTATCTGCATCATAACACTTTGAGATGAATGCATGCCAAAGAACACCAGAGCAGAAATACAGCCGAGTGTAAAAATATATTATTCATCCATTTACTTTTAACTTTAATTATGTTCAGAAGTTTGGACTGGGGAGCTCAGATCTGTACTGGTTCTTGTCAGCTACCAGTTTCCTTCACTGGTTTATAATGATGCTTAAAAAAACAGAATCTTAGCTTAGACTGGGAGACCATCTAAAGCAGGGGTAGGGAACAGCTTTAGTGGTTTTCCTGCTTCAACACAGTTGGGTCACCTGTTCAGCAGCTCACCAGGTTAATCACCTGCTGATTAAAATCACGTGTGTTGAAGCAGGGAAACCTCTTAAATATGCTGATAGCAGCTCTCCAGGACCACGGCTCCCAACGCCTGATCTAAAGGCTCGTGGATCCTTTGCAGGTGTTTTGGGTTTATTATCTGGTTATAGTGTGACACTTTAATTCTACAATATTGAACCTTTTCACAATATTCTAATTATGAGATTTTTCTGTGTGTGTGTGCAAGGACGTAATTTTCACTTTAGAAGTGGGGGGGACACGGGGTGGGGGGGTGGTATCTTTACAGTATGCTCTAATGGGAAACAGGCTTCAACACAAACGGTTGTTTTCCGCTTGGTCCTAGAGCTCAACCAGTGTCAATTTAATATAGCGTAATATTGTTTTTGGATGGTAAAAAGTGCAGGGGTCAAAACTTGACTTTGGAAAAAGTGGGGGGGGGGGGACATGTCCCCCCTGTTCCCCCCCCCCCAAAAAAAATTACGTCCATGTGTGTGTGTGTGTGTTGGATCTCAGTAAAAACGTCAATAATCCACATAAATTCTCCATCTACCGACGCAACAGGGTGAAACACACTAGTTTCGTGATTTTACACGTTAGCTGTAACCGCAGTCATGGCGGACTGAGCTACACGTCTGTTCGAGATAACCCGGGATAAAAGCGCCGCTCTGTACTTACTTCCGGGCGTATATTAGCAGACCGAAGCTGACCAGTATGACCAGCAGGTAAACGTTGGTGGCTTCGTTCCAGGCTTCATGTACCGAGTAGTCTATAGACTCGGGCTCGCTCCCCAAGGCCCCCATCCAAACTACCGCTGAAAGCCGCGGACAAAAACGAATATCTGCTAATTTAGCTTTATTAGCTTGTAGTTGCTAAAGTCTGTACGTAAACTAACGTCTTTCTTCTTCTCCCGTCTTTTATGGAAGTAGGCAAACGCGCAACGGCGCTCTACTGCCACCTTCTGGTCTGGACTTATGCTCCTGATTGACTTTTTATTGCCACGTTGAGGCATATTAGTTCAACATGGCAACACATTATTTAATGTATTCTTTTTTTAGATTTGTTTACTTTATCCATTCATAACAATGCATATAAAATACACGAAAAAGAAAATAGTTATCTAACAATGATCATTATAATCATTAACACAATTCCAACTTCCTCTTGTAAACAAGACAGTTTCTTTAGATATAATTTATGACCGAAATGGTAAAGGCAGAAATTAAACTTAAGCCAGCCCATTAACTCATTACAAGAAATCAACAGTAACATAAATGTCAACAGTTAATAACAGTACAGTTATTACATGCATCATCTTAGATTCACAAGATCAATCAAGAAGGAGAAGAAGATAATATCATTTCTATAGCGCCTCTCAAGATAAAAATCACGAGGAGCTTCACAAAAACAAAAAAAGTAAAAATATAAAAAAGCATTTAGAAAATATTTAAACATATATTTAAAGTGAGCAAAAATAGGCAATTGGGATTTCAAAGAAAAATTGTTAAAGAGAGAGAGTGAATAGGAAAGAGGGAAATCAGTGGATCCTGAGGAAGGTGGAATAGGTGGGGAGAGCAGAATAAAGAGAGAGAGGTGAAGAAGGTCATACAAAAGCCAGCTTGAACAGGTGAGTCTTCAGCTGCTTTTTAAAGGAGACCACTGAGTCCACTGATCTCAGGCTCAGGGGGAGAGAGTTCCAGAGTCTGGGGGCCACAGCAGCAAATGATCTGTCACCTTTGACCTTTAGCCTGGTGCTGCACAACCAGTAGGCTTTGATCACTGGACCTCAGGGACCTGCTGGGGGTGTAGGGACTAAGAAGATCACCAATGTAAGATGGTGCTTGTCCATGTAAGGCCCTATAGACCAGAACCAGGATCTAGAAATGAACCCTGAAGTTGACTGGCAGCCAGTGAAGCTGGAGGAGAAGCGGGGTGAGGTGGGTGTATCAAGAGGTATAAACGTGTGACAAACTTAATTTTGTTCTGCTTAGTAATAACTTAAAGAGTTATTTTTAAAACACTTGTTGAATATTTTCAACGAGCAAGATTTTTTAAAACTACCATCAAGGCTATTCCACAAACTCACTCCTCTTACTGAAATACATCTTCTTTTTTATTGGTTCTAGTTTTCTTTATTTTGAAAATCCCAGTTCCTCTTAGACAATATCCTCCGTCCCGATGTTCAAACATCCTTTGGAGATCAGGTGGCAGATTAGCATGATATTCCTGATATACTACAGCCAGAGTATGCAGGTCAACAATATCGTGAAATGTTAGAATTTTTAAATGGATAAAGATAGGGGTTGTTGGTGCATAATAGTTAGCATGATAAATGATTCGAGCTGCCTCCACATTAGTAACACACACAGTTACAAGAATTTTTGGGGTATTTTGGTGCAAAAATGTATAGAAAAAAATGTTCAGAACAGAAGTCAAGAATGTTTGACAAGAACAGAGACAAACAGCAGGATCGATCCAGATGGAGCATTAAAATGAAAAGTCCTGTTGGCACCAACGCCACATGGCTTCTATAAACAGACACCAACGCAGGGCCGTGCAGAGACCACTGAAGGGGCGGGTGCTCAAAGTTAAAAGGGGGCACATTTAGAGCAAAGATTTTAAACAGATTCACGATCCAACAAGTCAAAATCAGATAATGAGACACTTGGTTTCAAACAACATAATATGAACTAGGAAAAATATGTCATTTAGTTCTATTAATTGAAGGTAATGTTAGTTCATAAATAACTGTTTTAGTTTTTAAAGCTGACTTCTATCTAGGGATGCTACAATCACATTTTTGCCCCTGTCTAGTGTTATAATAATGATGTAACAGTCAACATAAAAAATGCATAATAAGGTAATAAAATGTATGTATTCATGCTCACGTTCTCTTTGACCACCTCAATGTGGGAGGCAGAGCATTTATCACATGTTTAACCCGCTTATGACCATAAATATCACTGTTTTTGTTTGTTTGTTTGTTTGTTTTATGGCTGTGAAATTGTTACAAAAAGTGCAAAATGTTTACAACTCTGCTCCCTTTTTCAGACCAACCTCCGCTTTCAGTGTCTGGTTTGTATTTAGTGTTTATGTTTATTAAAGTCTGTAAAAATGCAGCTTAAAAACAGATTTGAATTGTTTATATTTATTACTAAAGAGGACCCTCAAACTATATAAAAGGAACAATGAAAACTCTGAACTGTGTTGCAAACACTCAGAAAAAAGTGTAAAATAAATATTAGGTAAAGTAAAATAACATTCGGCTGTATTTCTGTTAGCATTATAACTATTGATGCGCCAGATAAAATGTAATAATAAAATGTGAAATTCATTTCATACTGCACTGATATAAAATAATCAACACTCTGAAGACATGTCAGAGCCATAAGGGAAGGTTTTTGAATGGGATTGCTTAGAAAAGTGTTGGTTGGTTGTGGGGGGGGCATGCTGCTCCGGTGGCTCTGTCTGATGCTGGTAGGTCCCGTGGTGAATCTTAGAGCCAGTAGATAAATGCATCTCTTGCCAAAATACAGTTTGAATGTTGATTGCTGAAAAGTTGAGCAGATCCATGATCCGGGTAACAAGATGTTAGGATTTTGGGTCAGGGGTGAGCTGGAGCTCCCAGAGAACCCCCCCCCCCCCCCCCCCCCCCCCCCCACGCAGCACAAGGAGACACAGAAATGATGTGGAGGTGTGTCATCTGTGACCAACACATTCTCACACCCTAACAAACGCTTGGTCACTCACTTTCCCTACATGTGTAGCTCACGGGAGACGATGGATGAAGATGTCGCGTTAGAGTTCATACTTGTTTAATTCTCCATTTTAATTCTGGCGCCTGTTAGCAACCGAAACACATCCTCACGCGCTTGTGTGGATAATATAGCGCACATGGAGACATGACTGTAATAATGAGTACAGGTTATCGGCTGTAGCTTTAGTGTATGGGGTGCCATTTGTAAAGTCAAACAGTCATAATCTAACAGCAATATTTTTGGTTATTTAGCGAATCATAAGAGAAAAAATTGGGAGTTCACTTTTTCAAAGTCATATTTTCACCATGTAATTCATACATTTATAAATGTTAAAGTTTCCAAATAAATATTTAGTTAGCAAGCTAAATATTTAATTTATAGTTAAATATTTCTTTTGCAAACTAAATATTTAGGTCTGATCTAAATATTTAGTTTGTAAAATGAATATTTAATTCACTAACTAAATAATTAATTTGTAAATTAAATATTTATTTTCTGAAAAAAATATTTAGATCCCAGCTAAATATTTATTTTGGAGCTAAACATTTAGTTTGCAAAATCAGTATTTGGGAAATAAATATTTAAGTCTGACCCACAAATATAAAATATATTGTGGAGCTAAATAACATCGTGGAAAATAAATATTTAGCTGGTACTTAAATATTTAGCTAATATGCAAATTTGCTTGCCAATAAGCAGAAGTTGGTTACTAAAATAAAAGCTGGATCTCACTAACCTCTTTATAAACTCTTGCTCCGAACCAGAACTTGTTTTATCTCCGGTTCTATTCTTCTTCAGCCAACACGTCGGACATGTTCTGAAGAATAGAACCAGAGATAAAACAAGTTCTGGTTCGGAGCAAGAGTTTATAAAGAAGTTAGCTAGATCCAGCTTTTATTTTCGTAACCACCTTCCACTTATTGGCAAGCAAATTTGCATATTAGCTAAATATTTAAGTACCAGCTAAATATTTATTTTCCACGATGTTATTTAGCTCCACACTATATTTTATATTTTTGGGTCAGACTTAAATATTTATTTCCCAAATACTGATTTTGCAAACTAAATGTTTAGCTCCAAAATAAATATTTAGCTGGGATCCAAACATTTATTTTGGAAAATAAATATTTAATTTACAAATTAAATATTTAGTTCCAAAATAAATATTTAATTAGTAAATTAAATATTTAGTTAGTGAATTAAATATTTATTTTACAAACTAAATATTTAGATTAGACCTATATATTTAGTTTACAAAAGAAATATTTAACTACAAATTAAATATTTAGCTTGCTAACTAAATATTTATTTGGAAACTTTAACATTTATAAAAGTATGAATAACATGATGAAAATATGACTTTGAAAAAGTGAACTCCCAATTTTTTCTCTTATGATATGCTAAATAACCAAAAATATTGCTGTTAGATTATGACTGTTTGACTTTACAAATGGCACCCCATATTAGTGCGCTCATATAGTGAAGAACACAAATCACGTTTCTCTTCATGGCCTATATCATCATCAACGTTACAGGATTTACAGAATACACGCGACCAACCAACATTTTGCGTTCTACCACCGGATGTTTGGATCAAAATGTGATTGGCGCACGCACGAGCCGTAGAGTTGTTGTGCACGTGCGCTAGCAGCAGGCGCGTGAACATCTTTAGAGGTGGGTGTTTTCCCAGAGTCCAGACTGGAGCCATAAACGCCACAGACACGTGACTTCTCCCGCGTGCGTCAGCCGGCAAACTTCAGACTGGTTTCTGTAAAAATGAAACCTAAACTCTTCTCATCTGCTGACGAACGTTTGCTTAGTGGAGCTCTTCAGAGTTGTGTTGGTGGAACATGTTTGTTGTTGAGAACCTGCAGGGCAGCTTTAGAACAGACTACAGGAATTTTAATTTGATTTTTTAACGTTTTCTGAGCAGCATCGTGATGGATCTTGAAAATGCTCTTCAGGCTAAATAAAAAACAAACCAGAAAGCTGTGAAATTCGGAAATGTGTTAGGGAATTTTTAGGAATTTCCTTTTGTGTCCCGTTGAGTCTTCTCTGTTTGTGGAAGTTTACTCTGAAAAATTAAAGCTCACATCCTAAAAATATCAGCAGGAACAACACTGGCATTTTGCTATTTACTGAGTTTATTTAAGGTAGAAACAAGCATTTATCTACATTTTAAAAAAGACAGACCATAGTTCCCAAACTTGCTATATTTGTCTTGTTCCACATAGGCTATCTGCGCTTTTTTCTCCTGCATCTTTTGAAATATAACCACATCTTTCATTTTTCATGGTGGATTCAGAAAAAGATGCACGCGCAGCAATGGTGACTGAGTCATAAAAATAGTCCAAACCTTGTATTTTTTTATTTTTGCATTTAATTTATTGTTGAACACCAATGAAGTATTGTTAGAGCCTCAACCTTACTGATATAAACTGGGAGGAGAGACATCAATCAGTAAAACCATTTGGAACAGTGGGAGCTGCGGGTGCTACTGGCAATTGGGATTTTATAGATGTGTGGTCTACAACAATATTTTTTCAACTAAAAATCTGTTTAAATTTTTATTTTAAATATAAAAAATTAGATAAGACTTTAATAATTGAAACCTGACATATTTATTAAGTGAAACAAAATTGTTGCATTTGAATGCTTTTGGATTTAAAATATAACCAAATCTTTTTAGTTCATTTGTTTTTTTCCTATATATATGTATATATATATATATATATATATATATATATATATATATATATATATATATATATATATATATATATATATATATTTTTTTTTTTTTTTACAGAAAACCATTAAGGAACATAAACAAATGTCATTATCGAACTGGAACAGTGTAATCTCAAATGCACAAGTACTTTCGGGGAAAATGTTTAAAGTTTAACATTTTTAGCAGCGAAGTTCAGTAAACTTGTGAAAATAAAATGGTTAAAGAGCCAAATGAGAGGGCCCAGGCCCAGATTAAAGACTTCTCTAATGAAACGCTAATCTGGTGTATTTTAGCCGCTGTGGGCTTTTATTTTAGGAGCTGGAAGTTTACTAAAGTGCTCAGAGGCCATCCCAGCGGAATAACCCCTCTTTTCAAACCGGATAGAGGACGCAGACTCCTAATCCGACTGAGATTCCCTTTATTTTTAATAATTAATATAAAATTATTTATCATGAGAATAAAACTTGCCTTTATATCTCATCTGTCGCTGAAAATGATCCGCAAACAAACTGCAGAGTCAGAAAATATCCGTTTGGTTTTCTTTTCCCTCTAAAAACGTTTAAAAACGAAAACCTCTCATTAGATGGATTTATTGTGTCGTGATTATTTGCTTTGATGTTTACATTATTGTTGTGGTTTCACGTGCAACCTTCCGCAGTTGGTGGCTCCGTGTTTTCTACATTTCCCCTAAGACTACATTTGCATGCACCCGTGGCTTTGACGCATGCCGGGAACAAGCTAAACGCTGCGTGCCCACCACTTAATCTGATTAATGCACAAACAGCTGGGGGTTATTTAAAGGTAAACAGCGTGGGGGTAAACCCCGTCGTCACGCAGAGGCTGTTCGGGAAACGTTTGCGGATTGGCTCCTACCGGGTCACACTCTGTCTGGACTTGCGCAAATGACCGCGATCTACCTGCTCTACATCTGAAAACCTTGCCCTCATCAGCAGGCTTCTGATCAACATCTCAATAGGTGGGATGCTGTCCAGCCTGGGAGGAGGAGGAGGAGGTGTGAATCTGGCCTTTTCTTAGCCCAACAGGCACCCCAGGCCAAGCACCAGACTGCCAGGAAATTGTGTTTTGATTGGAAATAGGAGCCGTGGAGTCAATGAGCCCGGTCACGAGGAATTCTGTTCATTCTTTGAATGTTTGGGTTTTTCTCAGGTCAAAGAAAAAGGATCAGAATATTTTTACGCACATTTTTTCTTTTATTCATGAGTACAAAAGTAGGGGGAAAAAACTCGAAACAACAACACACATCAAACTCGGGACTATTAAATGTAAACGGTGTGCAAAAAGGTTCAGGTTGTGCAAACAGAATCAATCAAATGACAAGTTCCGCGTCACATGGGCCAGGGCCTCCACACCGGATCGCTGACGTGCGCCGTGACTGGTGCGGTGGCGGAGGGGGACAGCTTGCTGGATCCGGGCTGCAGTGTGAGGTGTTGCGGAGCAGGAGACAGGGAGGCTGGGACTGGAGAGCTGTGGAGGAGTCCGGAGGAGGCCGCCAGCGGCTCGGACAGCGCGAGGCGTCCGCGGGCCGAGCCGCTCTGCTCCGGGTCTCGGCTCTTACTGCTGATGAACTGGCTGACTCTCAGCAGACAGGACCTCATCCCGTCATGGTAGCTCTGCTGGAGACCGCTGGACCTCTGACTCCCGGACATAACCTCTCTCACACCCTGGTGGCTCCTCTCAACCTTCTCTGTACTCAGGAACTCCACCACACTCTCCAGAATCTCCGCCTTCTCCACCTTCGGATTCTTCAGTTTCTATAATAAAATAAAAATCTGCGGTGACATGCCGCTCGTGCGTTGCGTTATTAACCAGAAAACAACCATTTACCTCGTTCTGGGTGTTTTCCAGCATCAGAAGTCTCAAACACTCCAAGCTGCTGTTGATGCGCTCCCGTCTGCGTTTCTCCATCAGAGGTTTGGGCACCTTCAGAGCGAACAGCTTATAAACGTCTTGCTCTAACATGACATGCTGAATCGTGATCTACTTTCACACACAGCTTACCTTCCTCCTGGACTTCAGTTTCGGAGCCTCGGCTGAAGATAAAGACTTCATGCTGCAGCTCCGCGTCATCCAACCACCAAGAAACGCGCGTTTGGAGTTTGTTTTTCCTACCTGCGGACCCTCCCCAGCCCCCAGGACACGCCCCTCCTGCGTCATCATTACAACAACAACAAAAAGAAGAGAATAAAAGGAACTTTTTTTTCTAACCTTTATTTAACCATGCAGGTAAAAGGTTTGAGCACATGTTCTCATTCACAAACGTGACCTGGCCAAGAGGTTTTGGAAGGAAGTGCAAAAAATAAAATAATAAAATAAAAACAGATAAGCACATAATCGATCAGACATTAACAGGCCTTAGAATTTTTTTTTATCTGGGTCCGAAAAATAAAAGAACATCTGCACATGCATGCAGGAGAATCAGGAAACTGAATGTAAATACGTGTGATCTAAGAGCAGTCAGCCATAATCTGGAGAAGTTTAGATCTAAAGCAAGTTTAAGGGTGTTTTGTTCCAGTCTGCTGCTGCTTACTAAAACACTCAAAGTACTTGTGCACTAAAATCTTCTGGTGGAACTTGTTAATTTCTCTAATATTGAAGAAAATCATAAAATCAGTGGGAAACAGTATGATGATGTGGCCTTTATGATCCTTTTAAACTGAAAAAAATAATCGGTTTAAATCGTTTTGTACGCATTTATTATTAAAGTTATTTGTTTGGTTGTTAATGGGGCTTATAAGAGTCTCCCCGACAGACAACACGATGACCTGAGCTAAAACAAGAGGCCGTCCATCCCAGCCTGGTACAAAAGGTCATCTGGCGGTTCAGCGCGTTTAGAAGCGGTTTGGGGATGAGCCAGTGCCGTTGTAGCCTCTATCGCGCGCTTTGAGTTGGCTGTGATTTGCTGTGTGGTGGTGCATCAGATGAGTTTGTCGAGGCACTTTCCTGTTTAAGGGAAAACAGAACACTGGATCTCTGTGGCTTCGTCAAACTGTGTACAGGTGTGCTGACGGGAGGCCGGGAGTCTTGTTCAGACACCAGCCGTCAGATCCAGCAGCTGGAGGCACTGCATGGGCCAAGTTCACGGTGCTGATCCGTGGCTTCACAGCACTGGTTTGTGAAAACCACTTAGATCCCCCCCTGGATCTCCCCTGGCTTCACAGTTTTACACCTCACCTGTAACGGAAAGGAGATTTTAATTGGACTTTTAGATATTTGAATTCTTAATACAACTGGATGATTTAATAACCAGGCACCGATTCTGCGTATTTTTGTCCACCGCTGGTTGGTCAGACAGCAGGTGTTACACCACCCTACAGCAAGGTGATTTCCATCTTTAGAGGCGCTACATAAAAGATCGTTTTCTTTTCTTTCTTTACCTGCTAAGGACACAGTTCAGAGGGCTTTTCCCCTTTTATTGCAATAATTTACCGTACCATACCATACCATACCATACCATACAATACCATACCATACCATACCATACCATACCATACCATACCATACCATAGCATAGCATACCATAGCATAGCATAGCATAGCATACCATAGCATACCATACCATACCATACCATACAATACCATACCATACCATACCATACCATACCATACCATACCATACCATAGCATAGCATACCATAGCATAGCATAGCATACCATAGCATAGCATAGCATACCATACCATACCATACCATACCATACCATACCATACCATAGCATAGCATACCATAGCATAGCATACCATAGCATAGCATAGCATAGCATACCATAGCATACCATACCATACCATACCATACCATACAATACCATACCATACCATACCATACCATACCATACCATACCATAGCATAGCATACCATAGCATAGCATAGCATAGCATAGCATACCATAGCATAGCATAGCATAGCATACCATAGCATAGCATACCATACCATACCATACCATAGCATAGCATACCATACCATACCATACCATACCATACCATACCATACCATAGCATAGCATACCATAGCATAGCATAGCATAGCATACCATAGCATAGCATAGCATAGCATAGCATAGCATACCATAGCATACCATACCATACCATACCATAGCATAGCATACCATAGCATACCATACCATACCATACCATACCATAGCATAGCATACCATACCATACCATACCATACCATACCATACCATACCATACCATAGCATAGCATACCATAGCATAGCATACCATACCATACCATACCATACCATACCATACCATACCATACCATAGCATAGCATAGCATTCCATTCCATTCCATACCATACCATACCATACCATACCATAGCATAGTTTAGTTATATAGCACGTTTAAAGTGCAGCATGGGAGCTGCCCAGAGTGCTGCACAGGCTAACACAAAACGCGACCATTCTAAGGAACTAAAGCAGAAGATAAAAACACCAGTAGTCAAAAGCAGATATAACATGATGAATACTAAGAACACATTAAAACAATGACACAATAAAACACTAAAACGAGTCAGTGTCTAAAAGCCGAATCGTAAAAGTGGGTCTTTAAACGAGATTTAAAAACCGCCAGAGATGGAGCCTGCCGAACTCCAATGGGCAACGAGTTCCACAGCTTTGGGGCAGCATGCACAAATGCTCGTTCACCCATGATTCATGTCGCATCAGGGGCGTACACAGCGGCAAAAGGTCAGCCGACCTCAACGTGCGTGATAAATGTAGCATTTATCTGGACTTGAAGAGATGCTGAGCTGTATCACACTGTCGCTGCAATGCAGGTTATATATCTAATCTTCTGTTTCTGAATCATTTTTAACTGAATCTGCTAGTAAATACACTAAATGTCACAAAATGTCTAAAGTGTTATTTCCTTATAAATGCTTAGCAAAGCCCCTGCACAGCCGCCACCACACCACACACGCCATTGGTGTAGAAATAAAGCTGAGCCAAGTGGAAGGTGTGTGTCCCGTTCTTGAGTCAAACAGTCAGACATGGTGGTGGTAGTGTGATGGTATGGGGCTGCTCTGCTGCCTCAGGACCTGGGCCACTTGCTTGATGAAACCATAAATTCTGCTCTCTAGCAGAACATCCTGAACAACGCCTGACCTTTGACCTTAAACAGTACATCCATGTTGGAAAACCCTCCAACGTGGCTGAATTCTAACATTAGTTTGTTCCAACCAGTTCTTATGTTTTAGAGGTCTTTTTCACATGGACAGGTTGGTTTAGCTTTGCTTCTTTATTAATATTTGACCTAGCTATCAGCCTGTGACCCCCCAGTTGGCTCCTCACAAGATTGCAAGGGGGTTTCACAAATTTGTGCATTTACCATTATTGTATTTGTAAAAACTACATTTACAAGATCACACACACACACACACACACACACACACACACACACACACACACACACACACACACACACACACACACACCTGATCAAACTCTAAAAGGTAATAAAGAACAGGGTCTTCTTCTTCTAACCCTAGCCCTAAAACACAGAGTAAAGCCTCCCCCACCCCCCACCCCGCTACGCTGGATCAAACTCTAAAGTAACACAAACACCAAACAGGTTTCCGTGAAACTAAACCAAAACACAATAACGATTTCACAAAAGAAATAAAACAAACAATCACAGAAAATATTTTTTAAAGTGTCCACAGACACACCAAACGACAACCTTACAGAATACAAACATGTCGAGTGATCTTCTCAGAGACTCTCTGATTTTATGTTGGTGGGTGTGAGTATCTCCGCCTGAGAACGAGTCTTTTAGGGTGCAAACGGCAAAAGGCGACCATACGTAACTGGCAAGTGTTGAAGAAATCCACCGCGCCTTCTCCAAACAAAGCGGTCAAAGTGTCAGTGTGCCCAGCGGTCTCACAGATCTTGGAGAGTGCATCAGAAGTAGGCCCTCCGATACCTCTGTAGATTCATGCAGGTCCAGAACTTGTGAAGAAGTGTGGCAGGTGACAGTTCACAGGCCTTTAGATCCTCTCTCGTTGGACCAGTGCCAACAGCGCACCACTTTGAACTGGATAATGCCGTCTCACACAAATTGAGGATTTATGAACGTTCCGTATATCTTGAGCCAGACCTCCTCCGAAAATCCAACACCCAGGTTCAGCTCCCAGTTCTGTTTCACAACATCCGGACTGCTGGTGTGGGCTGAGCGGGGTGTAAAGTTTACTCACAACTCTCTCAAACTGTAAAAGAAGACAGCCTCAAAAAGTTGTTTCAGTTTATTTGTCCTATTTCACCCAAGTCTCTCTGTTAAGTTTTAATTGTTAAACTCATTTTTGTGTTTTTTGACATTGAAAACTTAAAATTGCTTGTTATTTCAACAAGTGATTATATTTTCCTCATTCTCGTGCGTTCAGTCAACTTAAAACTGTAATGTATAGATTAAGAAATGGCCCCGCCCACTGTGAAAGCTGCAGTGGGTGAGGTGCATTGTGGGTAGTCATGTTCTTAGTTATTTTGTTCTAATTTGAAGTTTTTATGCGCATTTATCGTGGGCGGTTGTGTTCTTAGTTTTTGCTTTGTTTAGTGTTCCAAAGGTGGAGTTATTTGTTGTTGTCCAAAGGTGAGGAGGGCGGTCGTAGGAATGAGAACGTTGTGCCGTTTCACTCCACTGGACCAAATTAAGTTGTAGTTCTCGCTAAATGCTCAGGACCCAGCTCCTGGTGTTGTGTGTGCGGTGTGAGTTAGCCAGCATTTTGCCGTGTTGTTGTTCGCTTCCTGCTTCACCATTTGCCTGTTTTGGCATGACAGCTGACGTTCAAACAATTAATCCACTTGTTCAGTTAACAAAAACCTTTAATTTGAATGGACAACCATACATGTCTAACTCAAATTTATAAGTTAACATAATGTAAAATTGTGTGTATGTTCAACAAGACAAAATGATTTTTTCACTTTGTAATCTAATAAGATTTGTTGTTTTGACTCACAATATAATATTCAAACAAAGCATAGTTATTATTTATGATGTTTATACAACTTGACATATAGAGTTGAAAGAAAGTGTTCATTTAAGTTGACATAACTCAAGTTTTGAAGGCAGCTGTTGAACTTTTGTTTTTAAGTTATTCTGGCCTAAAATTTATTACAGAGTAGTATGTCCAATAGTCTGTAGCCTAGTGCCTAATGAAGGTTGTAATAATCAGTGTCA